TGCCTGGCTCCCTCTCCTCAGCCTCTGTCCCCGCTGCCTCACCCAGTTGCTCAGATCCAGAGCAGAGCCTCTTGAAGAGGCCGGACCGTGCTCTCCCCACCCCAGCAGAGAGGGGCTCCAAGAGCACCTGGGTGATGGGCTCAAGGAACAGGCATTGATCATTAGAAGAAACCCTCTTCTCCCCCACATCTGGCCTCCGTGGTACCCCCTGGATTTCGGAGCAAAGTAGGGCGGCAGTGGAGGGGGAAGGACGCCAAGGGGCTGGAGGGAGCCCAAGCGGCAGAGATTGCTAGGGAGGGCAAGGGAGCGGTGCTGGGGACAGCACTCCCGTCCCCCCGCCCAGGCCCCCACACATCCCACCCTGGCCCAAGGACCTGCGTCTCAGGATGGAGTCCTGTGTGGCCCACCCCAGGCGGCTCCTGGAGCAGGGTCAGGAGCCCTGGCAGGAGATGAGCTGGAGGCCAAGGATGGTGGCGCAGTGGCTCAGAAGCGCCAGGGAGACCCTGTCAAGGGCTGATCCTGGGTGTGGAAGGGGGCAGCTGCCAGAGGCTAGGGCTGGTGCCGGGAGGTGTGTGAGCGAGGGACTGAAGGGCCACGATCCCCTGGAGCCTCGGGGGGAGAGGGCTCGTCACATTCCAACGGCTGTCCCCCCGAGGCCCCAGGGCCTGGCAGGAAGTGTCCAGGGATGCCACGGCCAGGGGTCTGCTCCTCCTCCCCTTACCCTTGGGAACAGGGAACTGCCCACATTGTCCCAGGCCAGGACCCCTGGTGCGTCCCTGGTCGAGTCCACGTTTCCACACCACCTCTGCATGACCGTCACTGTCCGTCACCACTCTGAGCGTTCCGATGGCCTCCCGCCAGGCCCTGACCATGGCACGGCCTGGTCACAGCCCCGCCAGCCTCCCAGAGGGCTTCCAGCCACACAGTCTCTAACACGTGTACCTCACTAGGCACCTGCACCCGTGGATGCCTCCTGGTCTTTCTCCAGACAGCTTAGCCAGGCTCCACAGTCCTCAACACCTTTCTCACCAGTGTCTCAGTCTTGTACTATCTGGCTCGCTCCTGACGCCTGGACCAGTCAGGTCTGCTGTCGTGCTTCCCCTCCCCTTCCCCAGCCCCTGCAGTTGTCAAGGATGTCAGCAGAATCCCCGTGCTGAGCTGTCCACCAGTTTCCCTCCCGGGTGCCCTTCCCCTTCCTTTCTAGATGGGCCCCCAGTTAGTTCGCACTTTCTCCCAGGCACGTCACCCACGTCCCCCCTTGGCTGTAACCAGCGTGTCCACGAATGCCACGTCAGGCCAAGCCAGTCTCTCCTGAGCGCCACACCTTTGCTGGGGCCTCCACACATGCTCCCCTCCCCCAGTCCCTCACGCACCAGAGGCCTCGGAGTCCCCATCAGCTGCTCCATCTTTTCACCTGCATGGCTCACACGTCACCAACCCCCAGCATTAACCCAGGCCTTTCTCCTCACTCCCCAGCTACCTCTGATCCCAGACCTTTCATGGTCTTGCTCAGGACCTCTTGCCTGGCTTCCTAATTGCTAGCCTTGACTCCTGGTACCTAGCTCAAAGCCAGCAACACAATATGCATGGGGGAAAAAACGCTACAAAACAAGAGCAACGTGAGGTGTCACTCTCAGGCTTGACTGCCGGTCAACCCATTGGTGCCAACAGGCAAGAAAAAGCCCGCCCCAGCCCTGGCCTCTGCCTGGAACTTTCTGCCACTACACTCACGCAGGGCAGGTCCAGGCCTGCGGCCTCCTGCAATCTAAGAACCTCATAGAGGGAAGTGACCCTCAACAGGAGCACAAACGATACGGGCTGTGAGCATCACGCGGCACCCTCTCTGCTCTCACTCCAGCCCTAACTTCTCACTGCCCACACCAGCTCATGGCTCCAACCTTGACACACTCCAGACACCCCTGGGCCCCTCCTCTGTGACCCCTTCCCACTCCTCCAGTGGAGTTCATGGCTCCTGAGGCCCTGATCATGTCTCCCACAAACACACTTCACAGGTCCACAACCTGTGAGGACCTCCTCCAGGACGGAGCACGTCCTGGCCCCTGTGTCCTGCACTGGCCAGCACACAACAGGGTCCATTTCAAAAGGGCAAGTCCTGTTGGCCTTGAGGCGCCTGCAGTCACGCCAGGCTCCAGTCAGGCTCCTGGATGCGAGGAGGACAGGGCTCACAGCGGGCCCCTAGGCGGGGTTTCTCCATCGTAGCGGAAATGTGCATCTTCTGTGGGATGATAACTAGTGATCCCCTAAACCGCACATCAGAAGTTCTGAGAAGTACTGCTGAAAAGAAACCTTGTAAACTTTGTGTCCAAAGCTATTTCACCATGAATCTTTTTAGGTAAAATCAGATGTGAGGGGTCAGACAGGAATAAAACTGAGAGGCAGAACAGAACTGAGTATTGCTGTGGGGCTCAGAGAGAGGCAGCCCTGAGGACACAGGCAGGATTCAGATCCAACCACGGGGTCTGGAAGACAGAGGGAGCTTAGAGCGGATGTGGGGCTCTGCAAAGATGCTCTGCTTGTCAGGCTAGACTGAGAGCCAGAAGCATAGAGAGAGAGCTGGTCTGGGACCACAGTTTCAAGCAGCCAAGTCCATGGGCCTTCCGGATGCATTTCCACAAGTTACCAAACGTCAAGGCCTTGACGTAAGGGATAACCTCTCCTTCCCCTTCTGAGATCTCTTTAGATCTCCAGGCCACAGAGTGTCTTGTGGCTAAAGGGACACGGAGCCTGAACTGAGCTGTCAGTGGAGAAGGTGGACAGAGCGAGTGCTTCTTCCCTTGTGGTGTCTCTCTGGTGAGGAGACGGACAGGCCTGGGAGGGAACATATGGGGGCCAGGCGACAAGGCTCGGGGGTGTGACCTACCAAATGGCTGTGGCAACTGCCCTCGAGCTTCAGCTAGGATCAGTCCCGGAAGGAAATAGCCCTACCTGGACCCCAGAACTTCCTACATTTGGGACATGTCTCCAACAGACAGTGTCAGCAGCAGTTTTGTCATGACGTGAGAAATGAGGGCCACACTCTAGCCACTGCTGGCTGCAAAGCAAGAGCTGGCCAGCAGCCCCAGTAGGCAACAGCAGCCACTGCAGCCACACGGGGCTGACTGCATGTGGCCACAGCATCTCCTGTTCTGCCGCCCGCCAGTGGCCGGAAGTAGAGGGCAAGGCAGTGGGCCCACTCCAGAAGGCCGTGGTTTCACCCAGGGCTGAGGGCAAGAAGGACAGCACAGGAGGGAGGGAGGAAGGAAGTGTGAGCAGGAGCAGAAGGGAACGCAGAGGGAAGTGGGGAAGGAAGGGCAGGGCACACAAGGGGTTAAGGCCACTGGGCCGGCCAGGTGGCACTGACTGGGCTCAACTGTAGTGACTTCAGAATCCATGTGCTGTTTGTCATACACCGGTTGATAAACAAAGGTGCTGGTCTACAGAACGAACACACGTGCATTTCTGCGAGAGGGAAATCATTGTTCAGTTGTGACCCCATGGACTACAGCACGCCAGGCTTCCCTGTCCTTCACCATCTCCTGGAGTTGGCGCAAACTCATGTGCATTGAGTTGGTGATGCAATCCAACCATCTCATTCTCTCTCACCCGCTTATTCTCCTGTCCTCAATCTTTCCCAGCATCAGGGTCTTTCCAATGAGTTGGCTCTTTGCATCTGGTGGCCAAAGTATTGGAGCTTCAGTTTCAGCATCAGTCCTTGCAGTGAATATTCAGGGTTGATTTCCTTTAAGATTGACTGGTTTGATCTCCTTGCAGTCCAAGGGACTCTCAAGAATCTTCTCCAGCAACACAGTTTCAAAGCATCAATTCTTTGGTGCTCAGCCTTCTTTATGATCCAACTCTCACATCCATATATGACTACTGGAAAAACCATAGCTTTGATTATATGGACCTCTGTCGGCCAAGTGATGTTTCTGCTTTTTAATACACTATCTAGGTTGGTCATAGCATTCCTTCCAAGGAGCAAGTGTCTTTTAATTTCATGGCTGCAGTCATCGCCCGAAGTGATTTTGAAGCCCAAGAAAAGAAAATCTATCACTGTTTCCATTTTTCTGTATCTATTTGCCATGAAGTGATGGGACTAGAGGCCATGATCTTCAGTTTTTGAATGTTGAGTTTTAAGCAAGCTTTTTCACTCTCCTCTTTCACTTTCATCAACAGGTTCTTTATCGCCTCTTTGCTTTCTACCATTAGGGTGGTATCATCTGCATATCTGGAGTTGTTGACAGTTCTCCCAGCAATCTTGATTCCAGCTTGATTCCAGCCAGCATTTCACATGATGTACTCTGCATGTAAGTTAAATAAGCAGGGTAACAATATACAGCATTGACTTACTCCTTTCCCAATCTGGAACCAGTCTGTTGTTCCATGTCTGGTTCTAACTGTTGCTTCTTGACCTGCATACAGGTTTCTCAGGAGACAAGTAAGGTAATCTGGTATTCCCATCTTTTTAAAGAATTTACCATGGTTTGTTTTGATCCACACGGTCAAAGGCTTTAGTGTAGACAATGAAGCAGAAGTAGATGGTTTTCTGGAATTCCCTTGCTTTCTCTATGATCCAATGGATGTTTGCAATTTGATCTCTGGTTCCTCTGCCTTTCCTAAATCCAGTTTGAACATCTAGAAGTTCTTGGTACACGTACTGTTGAAGCCTAGCTTGAATGATTTTGAGCATTACCTTGCTAGCATGTGAAATGCATGCAACTGTACCATAGTTTGAAGATTCTTTGGCATTGCCTTTCTTTGGGATTGGAATGAAAACTGACCTCTTCCAGTCCAGTGGCCACTGCTGAGTTTTCCAAATTTGCTGACATATTGAATGCAGCACTTTCACAGCATTATCTTTTTAGGATTTGAAATAGCTCAGCTGGAAGTCCATCACCTCCACTAGCTTTGTTTATACTAATGCTTCCTAAGGCCCACTTGACTTCACACTCCAGGATGTCTGGCTCTAGATGACAAGGCAAGAGTACAAAGAACTGTACAAAAAAGGTCTTAGTGACCCGGATAACCACAATTATGTGGTCACTCACCTAGAGTCAGACATCCTGGAACGTGAGGGGAATTACTGCACATTAACACCGTGTCTGTCACCAGAAGGGGTTTAATGACAGAGACTCCAGATTATAGTGGACAAAGAGCAGGGCTTGAGGTCAGATGCCACCATTTACTGGCTGGAATGGATCTCCTTAGAACCTCAGTTGTATTGTCTGGAAAATGGAGGTTACATTAGTATCCATCTAACAGAAAGGCGGTGAAGACGAAGTAACATGACTTGGTCTCTTCCAGTGCAGAGCATGCTTATAATTTTCCCATAAGGACTCCTAAGAGTCCTGCTGGCCTGGCAGAGTACCTGGTCACCCTCACTATTTCACAAGGGATGAACTGAAGTTCACTGAGGCTAAGTGGTTTGTCCAAGACTACAAACTCAGATGCAACCTGCTGAGGGTTGATATCCAGGGCCATCTGACCCAGGCCGATGTCAGGGAACAAAGTGAGTTGCTAAAGCTGATGAATGCCGTGGCACAAGGGAGTCCCCGATTTCAGGCTTGCTAGCTCCCGGTACCTCTAGGAATATCACCTGAGTCCCCTTTGGATACCACCCCCCACCCCTACTTTAGCACCTGTCCAGTAGCTGGGCTGACCACAAGCCCTGACCCCTAAGACAGCACATGACGCAGGCCTGGCCAACAGCAGCCCTGCATCTCCCTGACTCGAGTGACCATTTCAGGGGACACAGGGAACCCACATGAAGCCAATGGGAGTCTGGGATTTTGCAGGAACTCCTGAGAGAAAGAGGCTCACTCTGCCATGGGCCTGCAGAGCAGATGGAATATAAAAGCTGGAACAGCTGGCCTTGCCCCAAACCCCACATCCAAAGGAAAGACACACAGGTCCTGATGCAACCCGGAGCCACTGGACGAGAAAGCCTTGCCACAACAAATGGGAAATGCTGAAGACAACCATGGGAGGCGTGGCAGGAGGTTCAGCTGAGAGACTACCTCCTTCAGCCCCACGGGAGCCCATGGAGCAAAGATGGGACCTGGGCTGCCCTGAGCGCAGCTGTGGGTCTCAACAGCCAGCAAACCTCAAAAAGTGTCTGTCTGTCCTTCTGTGGCATCTGTCCTAAGATGCCTGCCTAGACCTCAGATCACAAAAGACAGCACTTGCATTTGGCAGATGTTTTATTAAGGCCTGCATTGTGCCAGGCATGGTGCTACCCACTGTCAATGGCCTTAATTTTCATCAGGACCAAGGGACACAAAGGAGTGGAGGGGCTGGTGGAGGGAGGAGAAGCAGAGAGTGAAGATGGGGGCTGGTCCAGGCTGCATCAGGGAACCCCCACCTTCAGGGGTCTGTTCCTGAGAGGCCTGGGCTGCTCACTCCAACTGGACACCCCCGGCCACACCCGTAACACCCTCTCTAAGGGCACTTTAAACATTGTCCTGGTAGGAATAAGGCTTTCACATTCAACTGGGAGTTGGAAGAGGTGAAAAGTGGGGAGGGCCCCAGAGCCAGCCCAGGATGACAGGAGCTGGAGGATAGCTCCCCAAACCACTTAGGAGAAGCATCACTAGTTTCCCAAGCCCCCACCTATCTTTTGAGTCCTTAGCTGGGAAAAAGGTAGATTGGACAAGCCCTTGTGAGTAAGACCTGGATCCCCTCACTGCTTTGTGGACTCTGCCTTCCAAGGGTGGCAGGAAAGACTCACTAGGTTGGTCACATGGTGGCAAGGAGGAAGAGTCAGGAGGTGGTACCCCACATGATACCACAAAGCTAGAAGTGGGGGAGAGCCGCCAGGGCGCAGAAAGCAAAAGCAGACAAGGGTTGACTGGGGGTGACCAGTTCTGACTCAGACCAGCTCTCCTACCAGCACCCATGGAGCCCACAGCTCCAAGGAGGTCCTCTCTGGGGCAGACTCCTGGGAATGAGGTCCTCAAGGGAAGAGCCAAGGGATGAGGCTGGAGGCTGTGACAGCTGACTCGGAGCCAGAGCAGCCCCCCAGCCCCTCCCCCAGGCCCAGAGCACCTGTGGCCTCTCTAAGTCCCCACCGTGTGTAGACAGTGGGTGGGGAGGCCAGAGGAACGGGTAAGGTACAGGGAAGAAGCAGATGGAGGTGCAGAGAGAGAGGATGCTTTCCATCTAATAATGGCTTCTTAATGCACTCTGAAAATCACGCACAGGAATCGGTATCTGAGGGACTCTGAGGCAGTGCTGAGAGACAGAAATGTTTCTGAGGCAGAAAACAGGAAATTGGTGGTGAGTCTTAGGAGGAAAAGGATCCAGTGTACTCTTAAGTTTCAAAAGGAAGTGAGGAAAGATGGTACCAACTGCATGGGACAGCCACATGGCCACAGAGAGGATGGAGGGGTGGGTAGTGGTTCGCACAGGGCACCAAGAAGTCAAACAGCTGGGGCTGGGGGCAGCGGCAACTTTAGAGTGGACCACAGGAGGACCCTTAACGGTAGAGGCACCTATGGTCGAGACAGAGAGAGTCCTTGGGGACTCCGGGGGCACAGAGCCTCAGGAGGCTGTGGAGGTGCTCTCGCCCAGCCTTCACTGCCAGCACCGACAGGGATGCAGAGAAGAGCACCTCTGACATCGCAGGTCCCTGAAAGAGCCTTGGGTCTCAGACAGACAAGGCCAGATAAAGGACAGAGGGGTGGACAGGAGAGCACAGGGCAGGGTGTCACGGACAGGTGACAGAGGGGACAGAGCCACGGAAGGACGGGAGGGGGGCGGGGCGGGGCGGACGGGACAGGACCCTCCCCACTGCCCTGCTCACCGAGCTGCCGCGATGGGAGACTTCTTGGCGGGGTCCAGCAGGCCGCCCAGGCCGCCGGCTGGCTCCTCCCCCAGGGAGCGGGTGTCTTTGTTCAGCTGCTGCAGGCGCGAGCTGAGCTCAGTGATCACAGTTGGCTTGTCGTCTTCGGGCCCAGGGAGCCCCCGGCTCTCGACGGGGTCCCCCCACAGCTTGGACCTTCTCTGGAAGAGGTAGCGAGGGCGAGCGGGCCCGGCAGCGGAGGCCAGCCCGGCGGTGGCGGCGTGGTGCTGCTGAGCCATGAGCTCACTGTCGGAGGACTGCTTCAGCAGCGGGTCCCTGAAGGTCACCGGCCCCTTCCCCAGCGGGGACTTGAGCTTGGGCTTGGGAGGCACTGGTGGCTTCTCGAGTAGAAAAGTATGTCCGTCAGCGAAGGAGGTGTGGGTGTCCGTGAGCTCCCCGCTCTCTGAGCTCAGGGTGGACATGCTGGACACGGTGGAGATGGTGCTCGTGGTCTCCAGGTGGGGGTCGCTGGAGCTGCGCGTGTCGGCCTCCTCTACCCCCGAATCCGCCGCGGACTCCGGGGCGGGCGGCGGCTCAGTGCTCGGCTTCCCTGAGGCCGGGCCTGGCACCGTGGTGGGCGAAGGGCCTGGGCCGGGGAGTGGCGTGGCCAGCAGGACCCCGTTGGCAAACTCTTCGGGAGGCGGCACGAGTCCGATGCGGGCCAGCTCCTCTCTGGTCTCCTCGTCACTGGAGGACAGCTGGGCTGGCGGCAGGTTCACAGCGAATACCAGCTCCGGCTCCTCCTCGGAGCTGCCCTGGCCGGGCCCGGGGTCAGCGGGGGCACTGCCGGGGGGCTGGGCCCGGGGGCTCGGCAGGGGCTCTGTGACCACAGCGGACTGCGTGGGGGCCGGGGCCAGCTCCGGGGTGCCAGGGCGCTGCTCTTCGGCCCCCAGCCCACTGGGCTCCTGCCCATTGCTGGTGGCGTGCACGACGATGAGGCCAGCGGGCCGCTGCAGGGACGTGTCCAGGACGCTGAGGATCATGGATTTCTTGTCCTCCGGGGACTTGCGCTCCTCCCGGGGCACCTTCTCGGGCTCCCTCCGCGCAGGCACAGGAACCCAGGCTGGGCTCCTGGGGGAGAAGGCTGGCGAGGCCAGAGGCCCTCGCTCCGAGTCCCGGGCCTGCACATCCACAAACAAGGGCCCGGGCCGGTCGGTGTCGGGGCTGTGCACAGGTGTAGGGGACCGGGAGGGCGCCTGGGAGGCCAGAGCCCGCTCGCGAGCCGCCAGGGCCAGGGCCAAAGGCGAGCTGGGGTCCAGGGGTTTGCCGGTGAGCGGGTGGATGAAAGTGGAGCCGGAAGGCCCAAGGCTCGGGCCGCTAACCAATGGCTTCAGAGCAGAAACTGGGGAGGGCAGCAGCAGGTCACGACCGGTGGTGGTGGCGCCGGTTCCCAGAAGGCGCTCATCGATGGAGCGGGAGGGCTGCAGGGAGGGCATGTCCGCGGTCGGAGGGCTGCCCTCGATGGCACCCACAGACAGGAACACGGTGGAGCGCCGCCGCTCCTCCAGCCGCCGGTCCTTGCTTGGGGCCGGGCCGCCAAACGCCAGCCCGGGGCCATCTCCGGGGCCGTAGTCGAGGCCGCTGGGCCGCGGCCCGCGGTGCGTCGGGGAGGGCTCCCTGGCGAAGCTGCCGACGCCCGGGCCGGGGCTGCCCACGGCCAGGGCCGCGCGCTCCTGCGCATCCTCCACCTGCAGCTGCTTCACCAGCGGGCTCTTGCGGCGCTGAGGTTTCGACGGCGCGAAGAGGCTGGCGCTGAAGGCGCCCAGGTTGGCGTAGGGGCTGTCGGGGCCCGGCGGCCGCGGCCGCCGCTTGGGGCGTTCCGGCGGGGTGGCCGCTGGCGGGGGCCGAGAGGCGTCAGCCGCCTCGGGCGCCGAGTCCTGCAGGATAATCATGGAGCGCGCGCGCTTCTGCCGCTCCGGGTAAGGCAGCGGACCCAGGGCCGCGCCTGAATCATACAGGCCCGGGGCGCCCGCGCCCAGGCGTGCCTCCAGGCCGGGTTTGAAGCTGGAACGCACGGTGTCGTAGGCGCGGCCCGGAGGCGGCGGTGGCGAGAAGGCGGGGGGCGGCCCAGAGTCGAAGTAGTAGGGGGCGGGAGGGGGCGGCGGCGCGGTCTGCGGAGGGGGCGGGATGCCACGGCCCTCGCGCACCGTGTCCTGCATCGACGTGCTCCTCGGGAAGCGCCCCTCCAGCAGGGACGCCAGCTTCTCGTCCTCCCCTGCAGACAGAGGCCCTGGTGAGCCCAGCCGTGGCCCCGAGGGCCAAGGCCTGCGAGTAGGCCCCTCCGGACCCGGGCGCCTGCCCTCCCCCCACCCCCGGGGGTAACCCAGGTCCCGGCGCAAAGGTATCTTCAAAATCTGCTAGAGCTGCTGGCCTGCCCGCCGGAGGACGGAGTCAGGAGTCAGGGTGGGCGTGGGCACTAGGGTTACAGAGCGGAGGGAGACTCGGGGAGACACGGAGAGCCCAGGGCAGGGGGTCTGAGCAACGTCCTCAGTCTGGACTGGTCCCGGAAGGCCAGGCTCTGCACCTCAAGCCGGGTGTCGGGTTGGTAGGGCTCCTGCGGACTGGGGAGAGGGATGGGTTCAAATACAGGGGAGAGGAGGGCCCAGCGGCAGAGGCTCTGAGAGAAGACTCCAATTCTGACCCATGGACAGGGCCCAAAGACAGCAGCCCCGCGCCACCCCCACCCCAGCATCGGGGACAGAACTGCAGAGAAGGGTGAGGGGTGGTTGGAGCAGGCCTTCCTGCCCAAGACTGAGCAAGGCCTCCTCTCAGAGCCACCCGCAGCGGAATAAGCAGGTGTCACTGGGAGGCCCTGGTGGCACCCGGGGTTGGAGGAAGGGAAACACGTCAGATACGAGGGGGAACTCTCCCAAGCAGGAGTGATTCACTGCAGGCAAGGAGGCAGCAGGACTGTGGCCAGGAAGAGAGAGCTGATGCCCGGGTGAGTGGTGCTCTGTGAAAAGACAGGTCCAAAGAGGTTCCATCCTAGCGACCGATGGGCACTGGGCTGGGGGAGGCTGCCAGGAGTTCACTGCCACAGCCCTTGTCGTTCAGTCACTGAGTCGTGTCCAATTCTTTGCGACCCCGTGAACTGCCATAGCCCTAGTGGCAGAAATTCGGGAAGGCTGGGCAGAGGACAGATGGCAGGCTGAGTGCCTGACCCACGTTCCAGTCTGACTCCTTACTGGCTGTGTGACCCTACGCCAGGCCCTGAGCCCCTCAACGCCCCAGTTCTCTCATGGGCAACACAAAGTTAAGATGAACCCTACCTCCCGCCTCACCCCGATGTCATCAGGCTCTGTGCAAGAGCAGGGCTGGAGCACACAGGGCCCCCACTGTCCTGCCGCCTCGCTAGAACCTGGCAGGACCCCCTGAGTGTCCCCGAGTACAGTGCGGACAGCTGTGCCGCAGGTGTGCTCAGTGCAGCTGCAGGTGTAAGACAGCCCAGTCCACGGAGAGTGGGAGAGCGGCCCCTCAGAGCTGACGCACAGGGATCTCGGAAGGCTCCTTGGGAATCCACACCTGGCCTCGCTCAGGGCTCTGCCACTTCTATGCAGACCGCCCCCTCTGGCCGCCGTGGCGCTCCAGCAGTCCTCCCACACAGCGCTGTCCGCCTGTGTCCACATGACAGCAGAAGGGGCGTGGGGTGGGGCTGGAGGCTCTTGTGTACGATAAGGCTTGAATTCCAGCTCTGCCAGTTACTGTCTGATGTTTCTTAACCTCTTGACACCTCAGTTTCCTCATGGCTGGAGATCTGCCCCCTCCCACGGAAGTGTGACGTGGAGCCGTTTAAAGCTTATTGCACAGGGCTGAGCACCCCCAGAAGCGCCCCAGGAAGGCAGCTAAGATCGTCACCACCATCACCATCATCATTTTTAGGTCTGCCTTCCACCCCCCACTGCTGGACACAGATTCTGGGCCAGGTTTGGCCTGGGTCTCCTCCCCGCCACATTTCTTGTGTGGCATATAAACGCAGCTCAACACCCACCCACTTGTGCACGAGCCGGAGCCACGCGGGACAAGCTAGTGCTCCTGGAGGATGCAGAAGGTTTGGCACACCACGTTCTAACCCAGGGTGAAAACCAGTCACTTGCCTTGGGGTGAAAATGAGACTCTGTTCTGATGCAGAGAAGGTGGGGCCCTCTGCCCAAATAATAACTGCGGGCATTTCTCCAGCACTCTCTGTGCACCAGCCTCATGATGCAGGACCTACAGCTACTATCTGCATGTGAGTACAGCCCTCTGGGTGAACCTCAGAGTGGCCTTAGGAGGTAGGTACGAGAAGGTCCTCATGTTTACGGGTCAGGACCCTGAATTTCAAGGACTGAAATGTGTGCCCAGGGTCACATAGACAGGACAAGGGGTTAGGAGCCCCAGAGTCTTGACACATCAATCAGTGTTCAAGTGAGTGACAGGTGGCAGGCTAGGGCATGGAGGATTAAAGACAAGCTCCCTGTGGACTGAGCCCAGGAGTGTCCAGGAAAGGAAAAGCTGGCAATCTCCACTGAGAGGTTCACAGCCTGAAGGACAGGCACTTAGATCTGGACCTGCGGGGGTCAGTACTGGGACTGAGTGGGGCTGAGGGACAGGTCATCCAGCCAGAGTGAGGGTAGGTGGGTAACAGTGTGTGTCGGAGCCAAGTCAGAAGGAGACAGAGAAACATCCCCAGATGAAGCAGCAGAGGATGGACTAGGGCCCCGAGGCAAGGCAGAGCCCACAGAGGATGAACGCTAGCAGATGGGAGGTGATACCCACTCTGGCCAGAGAGGTGGACTAGAGGGTAAACAAGAGGGTGAAGCTGGGGCAGGTGGTCAAGGGGAGACCCAAGCTGCGGTCTTCAGAGACTGAGGCACAAGACAGTGAGGCCTGGCCAGGTAGGGCTGCAAGGTGTCTAAGGAAGCACACCACTCGTAATTCAGTGGGGCATCCAGAGAATAAGGAGGAAAACACAGAATGCCCAAGGAGGTGAGGGGGACGTGCTTCTTGGCTCCAAAATAGCTGCAGTCTCATGTGCCCTCTTCTCCAACCTTCCACCTACAGAAACGACCACAGCAGTCTCTGAAGGACCACTGCTGTCAGCAACTCATCCCATTATCTCCCAGAAACCCCCAGGCGTTCTGCATGTCTGAGCCCAAACACACACTCCCCAGCCTTCCTTAACACACAAGCATGACTGGTCCTCTCTAGTAAATATGCCTGCATACCTACCATGCAACTGCTGAGCTGAGATGTCTGCAGACATGTCACATCCCCCAACTGAGTCCCCAGACCCTGCCCAGCATCAGCTTAGAGTATTATCAGCAGCGGCCCTGGGGTGAATAAGGGACTGGATTTGCAATCAGTTTGCAGCTGATTGGCCAGATGAGTGAACAGAAAACAGGCAAGGCAGCTGTGTGACCCGGGTCACGTCATTTTTCCTCTTTGCCTCAGTTTCCTCATCTGCAATCTAGAGGTACTCAGAGTGTTATCTCAGGAAGGCTACTGTAAGTATTAAATGTACCAGTGCATGTGAGCACAATGCTGGAGTAAGTACTGACGAGGCATTTGCTCTGCTGGGCGCTGTGGGGTACACAGGAACAAAGGGATGGACAAGTAGACAGGTCAGTGGGTGACAGAAAACTGGACATGTTTGTAGTGGATGGATGAACAGGTGGGGAAGTAAGGGGGGCCAGATGCCTAGAAGGAGGAATGGTGGGTAGGGCTTCTTAGATGATCCAGCGCAGGGTCAGGAGAGGAGATGGCCAAGGGTGACGGGAAATGAGACCCCACGGGGACAGGTGCCGAAGGCAAAGAGGCTGACACGGCCTTGAGAAAGACCCACGTCCCACAGGGGAGAGATGGAGACTGAGAACTGAGGGGGAGATGGCAACTGTCCTTGAAGTCCTAGAGAGGGAAGTTTCAAGGAGGAGGGAGCAGGAAAATCAAGCGTGTCCACTGGGAGGGATCCCCAGTGGGAACAATTTCAGTTTTAAGTATGGACAAGGCTGGCCTGCCTCAGGCTAACAAGCAGGTGGGGAGACAGGGACAAGTAGGGGGACTTCTGGAGAAAACTGCCTGTGAAGGAGAAGAGAGACGTAGAGCAGCAGCTGAAGCGCTGGAGATGGGGAGGAGGCAGGTTCAAGGGGACGGTAGCTTTAGCATCAGAAATGTGACATGTAAAAAAAGTAAAAATAATAAAAATAAAAGAAATGTGACATGTGCTCGGGCTGCAGGGGGCACAGCCAGGCAGGATACAGGACAGCCAGGGACAGGGACGCTGGCGTCTGTGGGAGGGCAGGACGGGGGTGCCCGCTGGTGGGGAGGGACAGGAAGAAGCCTCAGGGGCATCTTTCAGCAAAGTATCTCTTGGTTGGGTGAAGGACTAACACCCCCTCACCCCCATATATGTCCACAAACAAATGAGATTCCTGGGCTGCTGCCAGGGAGAGGAAGGACTTCGAGAGAAACTGTCAACCTCAGCTGAAGGGTGGGGAGAGACAGGGGCCTCCGGCCCAGCACCCACTCCAGCCCCCACCCAGTCCTCCAGCCCCATGCAGCCCCCAGCCCAGCCGTACCTACAGACTTGGTCCGTGGAATCCCCTTCCGCAGGGAGCCTGGCAGCTTCTCCGGGCCTGGGAGGCCCTGGCGCTCAAACAGTGACTGTGAGAGTTGGAGGGGGCAGGGGTATATGGAGGTTCTAGAGCACTGGGGTCCCTAGTTCCCCATCCAGCCCCACCCATCCTCCTCCTAAGCCTGAGGTCAGACCTCCCCATGTGCTAATTCCAGTAGCCCTGGTGCCCATGGTGGCTGACACAGAAGCCAGAGCCAGGTCCTGCCTCCGAGGAGCAGGGGCAGAGCTGTGGGACCCAGGCAGCCCTGGGCAGGGTTCTTGCAGACGGGGCCAGGGCAGGCAGGGGGCCTCGGACAGAAGTGGGAGGTGGGGGACAGAGACATACCATGCTGTGACCTCAGCTTGGCTGGGGTCCTTGCTCTAGGGGGCACAGAGCATGCCTAAGGCAGGAGGCATCAAGCACCACAGCCAGAAGGGTGAGAACTCAGCACGCGTTGAACTGTGGCTGTTTTGGGGGCTCAGATGGCCCCCAGTGTCTTTGGAAGAGGCTTTGGGGTCCTTCACCCCCACCCCTGAAGAGTGGAGTCCAAATGAGGGACCCTCACCCTCCAAATGCACAAGCAGCGGGGAGGGGACACGGCCCCTGTGCCCCACCCACGCCCCTGCCCCCGCTGCCAGGCGGGCTTACACTGATCTCAGCAGGGGTGATCCTCCGACTGGTGGGCCGCTGTTTGACGGTGGCCGCTCTCGAGTCCGCATCCGCGATGTCCGGCCTCAGTGCCGGTTCCGCGGCGGCCGCCAGGATCTCGTCCAGCTTCTCTGCACAGCCAAAGAGGTGCCACCTCAGCCGCGGGGCCCCTGACCCTGCCACAGCCTTCCCCGAAGCTGGACCTCCCGGGGCTGCTGACAGAGGCCCCCCGGCCCCCCAAGGCATGCGTTCCTGACCCACGACAGGAGGCCCGGGACTTGGGTCCCACCTAAGCCCCGCACACGCCAGAACCAGCCCCTACTCCAGCCTGGCCTCTCCCCTCAGGGAGGCTCCAGGTGATCCCATGAACGCCGCTCCAGGAAAGCCTGACTGACCATGATGGGGAGAACCACAGCAGGGGCAGTACCGTTCAGAGCCAGAGACTTCCTGAGTTTCCCAGTTTCCCGTTGCCCTTGCGTTATTCCCGTCTGTACCCTCACTGCACCGAGAGAAGCAGCAGCTCCAGATCAGACCCTGGTGCACAGCCGGCGTCCAAAAGGAATGTGCACAAACCAAAACCAGGGTGGGGGTAGGGGGTGGTTCACTGCCCCAGGCTAGAGACCTAAAGTATAGCTCTACGCAGAGGAGGAGGCCCCAGAACCTACAACTCGAAAAGCAGTTCCATCTAGGGTGGGAGGTGTTAAGAAGAGGCTATTGGGAAAGGCAATGCTGAGGGGCTTCCAGCAGCCCTTCAAAAAGCTGCCCCAGAAGCTAGGAGGGAGAAGGACCAGCCTGGGGCTGAGGCCTAAACCAGGTGCCCTCGGGAGGCATTCTTTTCAAATCTGTCATGAAAGAAAAGCATTGCTTGCTCGTTTTTCTTAAAGCTATTTAATGTTTTTGAAAGCGGTAGTTTTGATTAACAACATGACTTGGAAATTCTGTTAAACGAGTGTGTCTGGATGACTGCGGAGGGTCCACGTAGGGCCAGGACATGGGACACAGCAGAGGGGGAGGCAGCGCCACTGTCTACCTGGCTGCTGCCTGGCCTGCCTGTCCGTAGCCCCACTGAGACCCACCTATCACTCAGCCTCCAAACCTCCCAGCCCCGCCCCCCATACAGGAGCACACTCTGGTTATGACTAGTCCCTTGATGCCCCAAGTGCCCCAGCGGGAGCGCGGGAGCCAACCACACCTCCTTCCAGCACTGCTCAGCAATTGCCATAGGGGCGGAAATAAACTCCTCTGAGAAGTCCAGTTCCATCCTATATACTGACTGTCCTGACCCAGTCTCTTTGTCACTTGATTTCCTGATCTGATAAAACAGGCATAAAAAGGTACCCACTTCAGCGTCTGCTGTGAGAATCAGCACATACGGCCAAAGTGCTGCAGCTGTGCCTGGCTCAAGGCAAGCACTGAGGATATGCTTTCTACAACCCTTCGTGTCTCTGTACCTCACCTCCCCAAACAGCCCGTGGGGAGAAGAGAGCAAATAGCCATCCGTGCCTGCATGTCCTGAGCATCCAACCTAGGCCCCAGATAACATGGAAGTTCAACAAATGCTGGAGTCACCAGCAAAACACACTTTTATCTGCAGACCAGCCCACTTGGCCTGTGCACAGCTCTCAGCACCCCCAGGGGCAGTGGGGGTCAGAGGGGCCTTCCTTTTGCTTCTGTAATGAACTGAGTGATTTCCCTTTGGAAGCTGAATCCCCATGACCACCATTTGCTAAGTCCCTGAGGCCCAGCTGGTAAAGAATCCAGCTGCAATGTGGGAGACCTGGGTTCGTATCCCTGGGTTGGGAAGACCCCTTGGAGAAGGAAACGGCTACCCACTCCAATATTCTGGCCTGGAGAATCCCATGGACATGGGTCGCAGAGTTGGACACGACGGAACGACTTTTACTTTCACTTTTCACTTGGTGACTTCCAGGGTGAGAAGAGACTACATCCCGCAACAACCACAGGCAGAAGACACAGCTACTGTCTCCACTCCACCAGGAAGAATCTGAAGCTCTGGGGAGAGGAGGTGCCCCAAATCATAGATCCAATAAGAGATCAGACATCACAACCAGATTATCCAAAAACCGCAGACATAACGACATGAGCAGAGAGAAAATATTTCCATGTGACACATAGGGCACATCCCTGAGCTGGGTATTTACAGGCTGCATCTCTAGGTCCAGAAGAACTCAGTTCCAGAGACACAAAGCAAGTTAGCAAAGCAAAACCACTGCTGGCCACCAGCAAGGGGGCCCGAGGCCAGACAAGACTTATTTTCAAAAGGAAAAGAACCAAGAATTCTGCAAACTACAAGCTGGTGAGGTTGACCACAATCCCCAACAAAATGAGAAAAAAATATATTCTTAAATAAATTACTTTAGATTCTTAAAGAAAAAAGAAATGAAGGCCATTAGGAAACAGGCCTGCGGCCCTGGAACTGCTCACTCCCACCGCCCGCAGGCACACTGGGTGTGGGGACCGGACATGGCAGTGACACAGCTGGGGACGCATCTCTCTGAACCACGACCCGAGATGGGATGAGGGGCCCTCGGAGGTGACAATCACCACCACGTCCCCTACAGCTGGAAGCAGCACACAGGCCACACCAGAGCACCCTGGAAGCCGCGCTAATGAGCTGAGGGCAGAACCAAAACATTCCTAAAATAGCGTATGTGTCTGCCTCAAAGGTGTGAAGAAAAATGTCCCCAGAGGAGACCTAGTCATCTGTTTTCTACCTGAAAATACCCTGGGGAAAGCACTTCACCTGGGACTGGGGCAAAGACAGCGGGAAAACTCAAGAGGGCAAGGTCGCTGGTCGCACGGGGAACCTGGGCTGAGACAGGTGAGTGCGCCCCAAGCACAGGGAATGCCCAGCAGACCCAGGAATGGGGGAGGCGGGGGCACACACAACCGAGCCCTCGCAGGCTCCCGTCTGGCACGGATGACTGCGCCACAGACAGAGGTTCACGTCCACCTGACAGGTGGAGCCGGCAGACACGGGAACTCAGTGCCCAGGCCCAGCCAGGCTGGACACACAGATGTGCAGGAAGGAGGCTCAAAGGATGGGGGGGGGGGGCACCCTGATGCGAGGAACAGGGTGCTGAAGGCCACCCAGCTGTGGGGCCCAGATCCCTGTCCTGGAAGGATGTCAGCACTCACCTGAACCCCACAACAGATCAGGGCAGAAACAGAACCCACACACCAGGCACAGGAGCCCGAGAAAACCACCCAAGCTGGGGCTGAGCACCCGGCACCCTGCCCCCACCGGCCCAGCCACTCTGTTGCCCCAGGGAGCTTCTCGGCTGGGCCCCCGAAGCCCCTCCTCCACTCCAGGCCTGGCACAGGCCGTGGCTTCCCCTGGGGGCTCTTGTGTCTCAGACTCCCAGGCCGCCCAGCCCGCCTGGGCCCCCAAGGCCTGTGGCTACGCTCACCAGCCCAGCCCAGCCCATCTGACCCTTCCCAGGTCCTTCTACTGTGCCCCTAGCAGCCCCCCAGGGAGAAGGCCGACAGGAGGGTACAGCACAGGCTTCCAGACCCCCTGACTTGACACACCTTCCCTCGCCAGGGGTCAGGCAAAGCTGGGCCTGGGGGCACAGCAGATGACTCACCCCCTTTCCTTCTCCGAATGGAGGCTTGGAATCAAGAAACAGAGTAAATGGGGTGAGAGGCAAACTTTGTCCCTCAGCACCTGGGCTCCACCCCCCACTCGCACCCCCCTTCCCCATCCCCTCCCTCCCAGCCTATATCCCCGTCAGATTGTGAGTGGCACATCTACCCAAATGCCAGGTTGGTACAGGAAGTTCAAGGTGGGAACACAAGCAGGGACAATGCTATGTGCATGCACACACACGCGTGCTCACAAACACATGCTTGTGTACATCCACACACACATGCAGACATGCACATGTGAATGCACGACTATATCATACTTGGTTGAATCAAACACTGGTTCAGAAAAAAGGCAAAACCTCATAAAAACCCACTTCAGACACCAGCAACGGTGCAATGGTCGCCCATGAGCATTCCTGAAGTATGTTTCCAAAACGGGCAGGTCAGTGTGTTTGCCGGACCATGGCCAGTCAGGGAGCACACCCCGGCATGGCACCTGCCCTGACATTCTCATCCCAAAAGAAAAAGGAACCCAGAAGTTCCAGGTTTCTCATGAGAAAGAGGATGAACTGGAGGCGCTCCGGCCCCTCGGGGCCGCTCTGGCCTGGGCCCCCGCTGACCTCTGCCGCCCCAGGATGTCCTGGGCCGGAGCGAGGCACTGACCACATGGTGACTGAGAGGTCCTGCCCTCTTCCTCCTCCTCCCTTCTTCTCACAGGGAGAGTCCTTGCCCTACCCCTTCCTCTTAACCCAACTTCTGCCAACCTCCTCAGCCCCCTCTGCTGGGACAGCACCCCCAGGACACACCTCCCTTCCTCTTCCTCCTGAGGACCCTCTGAACGGCAAGGCACCACCTGGCCTGGGCCCCATCCTTGCCACCTGCTTCTTCTGCGGCCTCATATTTTCATTTTTTTCCACGTGTTCAGGTCATCTTCTCAATAGATTGCAGGACACCTAAGGGCCCTATCCGCCCTTGATGTTGTGACATAAAAGTAATGTGTTTATGCTGGCAAGGAACCCATGGGTCTTATTTCTACCTTTTAAAAGCACAGTGAATCATGGGATGATTGGTTAGGTACCTGAGAAGACCCTGATGCCAGCCTGGCTTTCTCAAACAAACCATATCTGTCTAGAGAAGGTCAGCAAGTGGGCTGGCTCCCCAGAACACCTGTCTTCTGGGGCAGGAGTGGTCTTCCTGTGCTCCTGTCTACCCAGGCCCTTCTCGGAACAGAACCACAGGAAGGGCCTGGGTCCAGTTCAGCTAAAACTGCGACCCCTCACTCAGCAGTGTGCATGGAGGCTCTGTGCAAAGCTGTCCCTTCCCCTTCCCCAGACTCTGTTCAGGAAAAGCTGGTGGAAGGATGCTGACCTCAGGCCACAAGAGTGAGCCCCTTCCCTCTGGAAGACGGGTCTACGGAGCCACCCTATCAGAAGGCAGCAGAGGAAACACCCAGACCAGAGAGGAAGGAGGCTCTTCTTCCACGCACTGGTCTCTGCAGACAGCAGCAGCCCAGAAAGCAAAAGACAGTTCTTCTGTTTCAGCAGGGCAGAGTCCCTGAGACCCTGGATGAAAGACCTCCGGCTGTCCAAGCACCTCTTTGTGCAAAGCGGGGAGGATCCCTTCGGAACATGCAGCTGAACAGGGCCTCTGGCAGGAGACTTCTGGGAACCACCCACCAGAGCCTAGTGTGGGGTCTAGCCAGATCCACTGCCGACTGGCATTGGTTTATTGATCGGTTTGGAGCCTCAAACAGTGTGATGGATCAGCTGCCCATGACTAGTCTCAGACCCTGTGACCCTGGGGCCCAGAGTCCGCCCACTTCTCTCCCTTACTCTTGAGTGAGTTTACTGGACACAGAATTCCAGGTGGAAAAACATTTTGACTCAAGACTTTGAAGTTGCTGTTCCACTGTTTTCCAGAATCTGCTGTTGCTGACGATGACTCTGCTGTCAGCCTGACCCCTGTTCCTTTCTAAGCCATCCTTCTCTGGCAGTTAAGATTTTCCCTTTCATCTATGGTGCTGTGAACTTTTACTACCAGAACTTGTCACTTCATTGCTTCAGACTTAGTCTCCTGCAAACTGGAGTCTCATATCCTTGTTCGATTTTAGAAAATTCTTAGTCATTTACTCTTCAAATATTGCCTCTTCCTCAATGTTTTTACCCTTTCCTTCTGGGACTTTATTTAGGCTGTCTGGTTTGTCCTCCATATCTCTTTTCTGCTTTTTGATAATTTTCATCTCCTTATCTTTCTGGGCTGAATTTTGGGTAATCTCAGATTTATCATTCAATTCAGTTTAAATTTAATTTAGTTTCTTCCTTCGGGTAGGTCAGTATACTTGTTCCCCAAGCATGGATTTTTAAAATCTCAGTGGCTACACTTTGTTTCAGTAACAGTTCTTTAGGAATCCTCTTAAAATCTGCTTATTTTTCTCACTGTCCTATTCTTGCCTCATGAGTTCTGTTGAACTTGGTGTTTAAACAACTTGAATTGTCTCTTTCACATTATTCTATGATTCCTAGTTCTTCTGATGCTAATTCCAGTTTGGGGCTTGGTTTTAGCCTTTCCACATCTCTTGGGTTTTGTAGGGGCATCAGAGCCCTGATCCCTTGCCCTCGGGATCTGTATCTGTCCCAAGACCTCATGGATTATGGAAGCATCAGCTTCCTCTCACACTCTTCGCTCTGATTCCTCTCTTCATTTTTGAGAACTGGGGAATCCCTCTCCCCTTCATTCTGAGTTGGCTATGCATTTTTAAAGTTTTGCTTTGTCCAGAATATTTAGGGAGAAGAAGGCCCTGACCACATCGGCTCAATCTGTCCTGGTGGCTGTCCTCCACACTGAACTAAACTGCAGCCAAGAGCACCTGCTTGAAAGAGGGTGGCTCAGCAAAGGACTAGGGTCAGGGATCAGTCCATGAGGAAAGTTAGAAGTAATTTTAGGGGACAGGTAAGGGCTCTTTCTATGGCTGGGGCAGAACCAAGCCTGAAACCAGGGTTGGGGCTCAGTTTAGAACCATGATCAAGGCCCTTCCTGTGCCCAGCACTGGGTCACAGCTCATCTTAGGACCAGAGTGAGGGTCCTTCTATGGCTGGAACCAGACTAGGATTGAGTTCAGATTATAGAAGGATAGAGCATGTTAGCAGTCATGTATATTGGAACATGCGATGATGAAGATATTCATTGGTCATATAAGTCAGGGCGTGACCATTATTAACTGTCCATATGTCAGGACATGGTCATGTATTATTTGAACATGCCATTGATGAGGCTACTGATGGTCACCCTGGGACTGTGGCCCCCACACGCCCATCAAAGCCCCAACACACTCTTCTTTGCCTCCGGCCACTCATGAGGGCCTGTTCCATCATTGTACCAGCAATGTTCACACGGCCCTGTGAGGTCAGCAGCTCACTGTAATTACCCTGCTTAGCGGATGCATAAGTAGGTGCTAAGAGGGCTGGGGAGGCACAGACAGACCACACATTTAGCTTCCGGAGCAAAGCTCAGGGCCCCTCTTCTCACTTGGATGAAATGAAGGAGCAAAGTCACACTGGAGGCGTGGGAGACCAGGGGCAGCACATGCACATGCAGGCAAACACAGTGGCGGCCAGGCCCTGCCCCCCTGCCCCCAGACCTGGGCACCCCACTGTCCGTCTCCAGGCCTGTCACCCTGCCCCTCGGCCCCCAGTCCAGCCACACACCACCTCCCTCTTCGGCCCAGTTCCCCGACCACTCCAGCACCCACACATTTACCTCTGACCTGTTCATACATCTGTCTGTCCATCCGTCCTCCCCTCTCTCTGCCTGAGTTGGGCCAGCCCCCCCACTGCCGCCCCCCTCAGGGCTATCTGCCTCCCACCTGCCCCGCCGCTCACCAAGCTCCTCAAGCTCTGCTGTCATGGACTTGGAGCGCAGGGTCAGCGTTGTGCTGGGGGCTCTCTTAGGGGGCGGCGGGGCTGCAAAGAAGAGGGAGGCCTTGGACCTCCTGTCTAGCAGCAGGCAGCGTGGCGTGGCCAGGTGCAGGTGCCACCTGCGCTCCACCGCCTGGATCTCCTCGTACTCCCGGGAGGACGAGTCACACTGAGCCAGGATCTTGTTGAGGCTGCGGCTGGATGCAAACTTCTTCATGGTGCTGGGTGCTCGGCGGGGCTGAAGGTCAGGCTGGGCCAGGGCCGCTGGGGCCTCAGGAGGCAGTCAGGGCCCCAGGGAGCTCACAGGCCGGCTGGCCGGCCCCGGCCCGGGACCCAGGCTGCAGTTTCAAGGGCTGAGCAGGGGACCCCAGAGCCATGGGGTGGGGGCTGGGAGGGGTCTCCCGCCAGCGGGGCTTCTGCCGCTCCAGGGCTCCCCCAGGCCCCGGAGGCCACTGCCCCTCAGGGGGCCGGGGTGTGGGCAGCCAGGCCAGGGCCTGGGCAGGGGCGGCGGGCGGCACTGCCCGGGCGGCGCCGGCGCGGGGAGAAGACGCTTTTCCTGTTCCCGCAGGTGCCGCCTCCCCCTTCCCTCCGACAATAAGCGGCGGCGGCAGCGTCAACCTCACAGTTGCCATGGCAACCCCGGCCTCCAGGCAGCTGCTGGCAGCGTTAGGAAGGAGGGCTCTTCCATGCCAGGGGCTGGGGGGCACCGGGAAGGACGGGGCAGGGATCTCAGGAGGGCAACCTGGGGTCAGGGGTCAGAAGCTGGGACAGGGCTGGCTGTCTGACGTCAGGGATGTGCGCCCAGGCCACGCATGTGGGTGTTCGCCTAGGTTCAGGCCCCCTGAGGTCAGCAGTCTTGGCTGAGGAGAGGAGCGTAGGCCCGGGATCAAAGGTCTAAGGTCAGGGGACAGAAGCGGAACCCCAGCACTCACCTCTGCGTCGAGCCCCGTCCTCTTCCGGCTTCCTTGTCACTGACACCACCTTCATGACGAGGCGGTTCCCGCCCTGGCGGATCAGAGCCACCACCTGCTTGTGTCCGACTTTCACCACATTCACGCCATTCACCTGGAACGGTCAGGACCAGGGCGGGGAGGGGGAGTCCAGTGAGGCCTCTTGGGCTTGGAGGCCAGTACCCACGGGGCGCACGGGGAAGGCCCAGCCTCACCTCGATGAGGAAGTCTCCCGTGCGCAGCCCTGCCCTCCAGGCCACGCCCTCCACATCCACCGACTCGAGGTATTGGAGCGCAGGGAAGGCCGGCGTGGGCGTGAACTCCTCGATGGGAGTCTCTGCTGTGGGACGGGGCGGGGGCGGTCAACGCTGGCGCCGCCAGGGCGGTCCAAGGGGAGGCGGTGGCAACATAGCAACCTCCCGTGGACGGCCTGGGCCGGAGGGCCGTAGACAGGGCTGCCCAGGGCAAGAAGAGCCGGCCCAGCAATCCCAGACGCACCCTTCTGAGGGGCCCACCCCACACCCCACCAGAAAGGCCCCTACTCCATTAGACACACTCAGCAGAGGTCCCGAAAATCAGGGAGGGAACAGAACTGCTGCCTCCTACCAACATCCCAAACCCAGAATAGAGAGTCACGGCAGGGAGACAGGAAGGGAGCGGGCAGTGGAAGGCGGGCAGGGGCCAGGCAGGAGGCAAGCAGAGGGGAGGGGCAGGGGCCCAGCTCCAAGGACACCCTCGCCAGTGGGACAACCCCCTCGTCATTACCTTTGGCCCCCCGGAGCACAAAACCAAAGCCTTCATGGTCCCGTTTCTGCAGGACAGCCACCTTGTCGTCAATGACATAGTCACTGATGAAGGAAAATGGAGAGGTGAGAAGAACCCTGCCGAAAGCACTCGGATCAGGCTGACCCCACACGTGCCCCAGACAGGGTCCGTGGGCAGCGCCCGCTCTGGGAGTCGTCCCTGCACCGACTGGGGAGGCAGCAGATGCACGGGTTGGGCACCACTCCTCCCCGCTGACTGCTCCCCCCCGGGGCCTCCCCCACCCATCTGACTCCATCGCCCGCCTGCCCACCCGCCCCTTCTGTACCTGTGTGCAGAGAGGCTGTCGTAGGAGCCCACCGTGTAGTGGCGGAAAAGTCGCTTTGTCCGGTCCTCCCGGGTTTCTGAGGGGAGGTTGAGGAATTGACGGAGGGTCTCATCCTCCAACTGGCCTGAGCCCCCCTCACCTGTGCGAGCCACCAGCCTCTGCCCACACACATGCCCCTGGCCTGGCTGTGCCCACATGGAAAGAGGGGTCCAAATCCTGGGGTACTGGGCCCAGTGGTCCTAAGGTGAGAAGGCTGAGGGGACCATGCAGGAAAGGGTCCAGGGTCCAGAAGGGGCAGGGGCTGTGGCTCGCCCTTCTGAGTGGCTGCACAGAGCAGGCCAGACAAGGCCAGGGCAACCACAGAGACAGCCAACAGGCCCCAAAACTCAGGGCAGAGAAGGCGAGCACGCGCACGTGTGTGGCCTGGAGCCGTGTCCAAGCGCTGTGTTCAAACAGGCACATGTCGGTGTGACCTGCAGTCACGCGCAGGTGCTGTGCTCAGACGCGTGACTGTGCTTGTGCACGTCTGTGTGTGCAAGTGTCGCGCTACCTGCTCTTATGCTCTGGCATGGAGGCAGCCTTGTGTCTTAGTGTGTCCCTCACCACAGGGATGCTCACTCTCACGGCGCTTTTGCTCCAGATCATTTCTCTGAGTGGGCAGGGAGGGGTCCAGGTTTGGGGGGTGGGTCCCCCTGCCTGCTCTCACTGCCTCCCACAGAGCTTTACTCCATCATGCTCTCCCTGCAGAGCTGGCCAGCTACCTGCTACCCCACCTCGGCCTTGCTGACGTCCTGCAAGCCAGCAGGTCCCAGTCCACACCTCTAGTCACAACCTCTCTGCTCCAGACTGACTTCTCCCACGGCCTGTGCGCTGGACTCCCCAGCACCCTTGCACCCACTCCTTCCTCCGGCTTCCCAGGACCTCTGCTCCAGCTCTCCAGCTCCACCACCACCTCAGACTTCATCCCTCAGCTCCTCCTTCCCTCTCTACCAGCTTAGCATTTTTCAAGAGTAACTTATTCATTAAAGAACTATGTACTGAGCTCCTACTATGTGCCAGGCTCTGCGAATACAGCAGAGAACAGAAAGAAGCCTCTACCCTGTGCAGTCTACAGTCTAAACTGCACAGCTGAAGAGACAGAGGAGGCACACACAGAACATGTCGAACGCTGGCGAGCAGTGAGAAAAAGTAAGCAGATGGGGACACGGCAGCTCTAGGTGATCACGTGAAGGCCTCACCGTGAAGGGAGAGTTGAACAAAGGAAAGAGGGCATAAGGAAGCATCTCCTTACGTGGGCAAAGGGCCTCCTGGGGATGGGGGTGTTCGGGGCAGAGTCACATGGCAGGTGCCAGCTCGGGGCTTTCAGGGAACAGTGAGCAGCCTGGGCGGTTGGGGCAGAGGAGTGAGAGACAGCAGTGGGGAAGGAGAGCCGAGAGGGAACCTGTGGTTCTAACAGCTGGTCTCCTCCACTGACTGTGAGCTCCCTGCAGGCAAGAACTATGCCACATTTCTCTCTGTGGTCCTAGCACCAAGCATGGCACCTGGTGCATGACAGGTGTTCTGAGTGCTAACTGGGAGGGCAAAGTGGTGGACAACTGACTGGCTGGCTGGTGGACAGCTGGACGGAACAAGGGACAGACAGAAGGACGGGTCAAACGGTAAATGCATATATAAGCGGATGGAGGGAGAGAGAGCAGGGTGGGGGCTTGCTGGGGGGTTGCTGGATGAGTAGGTGGATGACAGGATGGGTGGGCGAGTCAAAGGACAGAAGGAGCAATGGCCGGAAAGGAAGAAGCGCTCCCGTTACCGTCAGAAGACAGACATCGGGAAAAGCACTGATCTGGATTTCAGAACCCACAGATGTTGGGGAAAGCACTGATCTGGATTTCAGAACCCTTCCGCCAACTTGCGTGATTCTCTGCACATCGACAGTCCCTTTTGGCCCCCTCCTCACAGAGCAGGAAGATTCCCCTTGGAAGCCCCCTCGGGTCTGACGGCCGGTGGTTTTATCTCACTGGCTCCCTCCCAAGTGCTCTCGTCTCTCTCCCCTCTGCAGCACACCCGCTCCCACCACCCTGCTGTCCCCAGGCCCCGCCCGGCTCCGGTGGGGCCCAGACCGCTCTCCCCTCCACCACACCGTTCTCCATACTGACCCAACTCTAGAAATGCTCACAGTGCCTGCCTGCAGAAGAACCGCCCCCACCCCCCAAAAAATAGAACCTCTGCAGATCACTGGCCTCCTATTTTTATATTTATTGACCAAACACAGTATATTTATTACATAACGCCAATTCATTTTCCAGTTTTATTAATCAGACACGTAAAAGCCAGCTAAAATGAAAACACAGAGCATGGTCTCCCAAGTACTGGAAAGAAAGGGGGAGGAGGGAAGAACCAGCGGTGTCCCACACCAGCCTCCAGAACACCCAGGGCCGCCCCACCCTACCCCACCAGCTCACCCTCCCTGCCTGCACCTGCTCCCTTCACCCAGACGGGCACCGTGGGAGCCACGCTCTGCTGACCATGGGTGTCGCCTGGCCCACACGTGTTGGCAGTGTCCTCTCCTTGGCCTCTAAGTCCCTGCTCCAGTCTCAGAAACAGATCCTTCTTTGGATCTGGGCCTGTTGGAAGCAGGTTTGTGTTCCTGGGCCGCCCTCTCACCTCTGGCAGAACTCAGCCCTTGGGTCCCAGACCAGAGACTCTGTCCAGAGCAGCTGGGCCAGGCCTGCAGATGAGGACAGAGGTGATTCCCACCCACCAGCAGGCAGCCTGGCAGGCCTGTCTCCCTGCCAACCTATGAAACGCTCCCACCTACCCAGTACCTTCTGACATGTTCAGATTGCAAAGCCCAGAGCCCCAGCCCTCCTCCAGGGGCCCCACAATTGCCCAGAGGCCTATAGCCCCCTCAGCAGGTTATTCTGTGTCCTCTCCCTTCTCCGTGACCCTGGCCCAGCCCTGCCCTCCCCGGCTCCACCTCCTTGCTTTGTCCTGCCTGGACCATCACCTAACCCTAAATGAACGGCACAATCAGGACAGCAACCCCCTCCCCCAGACTCCTCCTCCTGTGACACCGCCACGAACTAATGCTCCTGGTCCCAGGACCCCTGACTCCAGCCCCACCCCTGCCCCGTTCAGGTTTACTCACACCAGAGCCCGTGAAGTGTGGCGGTCACAGCACAGACCCGGCAGCCCACTGCCTACCCTGCAAACAAGACTCTGCTCCTCGGACTGTGAAACCCATCCTCTTAGAGACAGACTAACAACAACTGTCCCCACCTCCCAGGCCTGCTGGGACGAATCAGTGAATTCTTAAATGTAAAAGAGGGAAAAACCAAGCCAGGCATCCTGACCCTGCTCGGAGCACGCTGGGTGCCAGCACGTGCAGATGCAGCAGGCCATGCCACACTCTGGCCAGCAGGCTCTGCCTCAACCGTCAGCTGACCACCTGGCGGGCCCCAGCCACCCTTCAAGGCTCAGTTCAAACAACCCCTCTGCTTAGAAGCCCTCTCTGACTCCTTCAACCAAATCAAGGAGCCTCCCTGGGCTCACGCCGTCACAGCACACAACAACATGCCTGCTGGAGCACAGTGCACACCTGCTCCTCACTCAGCGCAGAGCCAGCCCCTGTGATCCCAGCTCCCAACACAGCATCCAGCACATGCCAAGCACCTAAGAAGCGTCAGCTGTTCTCAAATTCTCAGTCCAGTCCAGACCTCTCTCCCTTCCTCCCCAGCTTCAGACTCAGCTCTAGCTGCTCCTGGACCCACACAGCTCTCAAACCAGAACCTTCATTCCCCACCCTATGGGGGAGCAGAGGGCTCCTCCCTAGGCAGGTCTGGAGGCTTCCTCCCCCCTCTCCTACCCACAGTTGGCACCAGCGCCCAAACTGCTGAAATCATTTTCCACCTCAACACACCACCCCACCTGCCCACCTGGGCAGACTAGAAGGGGTCATGTCCCTTCCAGGCTCCTAGCCACAAGGAGAGCCATCAGGGCAAGGTGGTGAGCAGCCAAGGATGACGGTAAAGGATCCTGCCCAGGAGTGGATCAGCGGCCACGTTCCACCCAGGGCAGAGGCCCAGGCCACACGGGGTGGGCTGCCCTGGGGAAATTCTCAAGCCAGGATAAGGAAGCATGGCAACTGGGTCTGAGCCCCTGGTGTGCAGAAAGATAGATGTGTGCACCCTGGGTCCAGACACACCATTAGTGACCACCACGAGCCACCGCTCAGGAGGGGACTCCCTGGTCCCACTAGCTCTTGGGGCCGGAAATACCTATGGGCCGAGCAGCCTCCAGGGCTTGCAGTCAGCTCCGGCTGGGTTTGAAAGGACCAGTCTCTCCTCCCTACTGGCAGGGCCACCTCAGATCCCAGCACCCAGAGGGCTCCTTCCTGGAGGTACAGGTGACCAGCCGGGTCACACGGAGGCTGCGGACCAGCCCCAGGAGCCATGGCCCTTGCCCCCACATCCTCCCTGCCGGCTGAGGATGCAGTCATCCCCCACCTGCTGCCTTTAGACCATCCTGGCCCCGGGGCACCCATGACAGCCCCTCTGGGCCCAGCTGGCCTCGTTTCCTCTTGGCTGGTCCAGGCCTCCCTGCACTGCCCACTTGGACAATCTGTCCACTTTGGAATGACGCCTCTTTTCTCACACTGACCTCTTTACTTGCTTGCCAGCCACACAGCAGTCACACACTCCAAGTATCCAGCGTTGACGGAAGAACCTTGTCTAGGGAGGATTGTGGTCATGAGAGCCACATGGGGGATCCCAGACTGGTGCACATTCACACGAGTGCATTCTGTGGGCATGTCACAAGTGTCTCCACAGCTGTCCAGGGTCCAGATGTACACGTGTGTGTTGGTAAGTGTGGGGTATGTGGCATGTCTGCCATGTACATGAGTTTGCATCTACTTCTGTGTGTTTGAATTTGTTCTAGTCTTTTCTCTGTGAATATAAAGTGGATGTGCTTCCAAGCAAGAGCAATGGGAAGCTGGAAGAAGAGGTACCCTCAGGAGCCATCCAGGGGGAGCAGGGGTCACTCACCGTGCCGGGTGTCATACTGTCTCATCTGCACCTCCTCCACGCAGTCAGCTGGGAACCAGCCCGTGCGGCCTTTCACGGTCCCCTCCCAAAAACCGCCCTCCCCAATGCTGAGCACTGGGGGGACAGAAGCCAGACAGGCTTGTCAGGGCAGAGGGGCGCAGCCCAGAGCCCACCTGACCGCCCTCCGCCCCCGACCTCCATCTCCACTATCACCACCCAACCTTCACCTCTCTCTCCTTCTCTTCCCTTCCCTCCCTTCATCCGCCTGGCTTTTTCCCTGGGAAAATTTTGGGATCCACACGGAAGAGAGAAAAGAACAGATGGGCACAGCACAGGATGGGCATGTGAGGGACAAAGAGATGCACAGATGGACACACTCGAGGGGGGACAGGAGGCAGAGGCAGGGGCCACAGTCCTGCTTCTGCCGGCTCTCCTCCCTGCTCTTGAACCAACTCTCATCCTTGCTCTGGTGCCCATCCCAGGGGCCACTGCCAAGAGCTGAGGGTCACTGTGCTGTGGCCAGGAGGTCGGGCCCCATGATGGACCACGGAGAGCTGACCAACACAACTGCTTCTTCCTCAGGCTCCCTGGGCAGAGGGCACGCATGAGGGGCGGACCCCAGTGATGACGGAGACCCCGTAATGGGAGGGGCTTGTCACAGCACAGGATCCCCTCATTACAGGCACCCACATGACTATCAGAGATACCCCTTAGAATGGCAGATATTCCACACATCACAAGCGTTTCCAATGAAGAAAGTCCCAGAAGTGACACAGGGACCCCATAATTCAAGGAAGCTCTGTAACAGGATAGGGTCCTACGAACATGAGAACCCCAACACCACCAGCCCCCAGAACGACACAGAAACACCCCCATGAGAAGAGGCGCCCCTGTGGTGACATTTTGGGGAGCCCAAGATGACAGAGGATGGAGAGAAACCCACATGACAGAAGCCCCGGAAAGACAAACAGCCCTCCCTTCACAGTGACACAAGGGATCCCCAGTGGCACAGACATCCCATAATGACCGCGGCCGCTCAGAGTTCCCAGGGACACCCCTCATGACAGACCCTCCACGGTCCCCGAGAAGCGGGGCGGGCGCCCAGAGTGGCGCCCGCGAACCCCAGGAGGCCCGGCGCCGCGCCCCCCGCGACCCCAGGGCTCCCTCCTCTCCCCCTGCGGCCCGGTCGCCGCGGCCCGGACGCGGGAGAGGCCACCGGGCCAGGGAGGGCTACGGTGCGCGGAGGAGAAGGCTGGGGAGGGGTCGGTCCGACGGAGGAGCACCGGGAAACCGGGAGGCGAGGCCGGCCAGGAGAGGAAGTCCGAAAGGGCTTCGGACTGGAGAAGAGCGTCTCAGAAACGGTTCAGGGTTCGCCTAGCCTCCAGGAGGGGCTCCCTCGGCGGGTCCGCGCCCCCCCGCCCCCACCTCCAGCTAGGGCCTTGGCCACCTCACACCGTGACCGCCGCGTGTGCTGGGCGCCCGAATCCCCCTCTGGACCTGGGGCCTCTCCTCCCGGACATCCGCCTCGGATGCTCATGCCCTCTCCACGCTGACCGCCTGGGCACCAAGCCCGAGGCCTCAGTCCTCAGCCTTTGCCTACTCAGAGGCCTGCACCGTCTCCCTAGCACCTAGGCGGACCGCGTCCACAGTCTTCGCCAATAGCCAGGCTCTCGGAGGCGAGAATTAGCTGCACTTCAGTAATACGTTGGCGCCTTCCTTTCTCTGCCCTGGCCGTTCCCAGCACCTCAACTATCCCAGTCCTGCTCCTCTGGCCAACTGTGAAGTTACCCCTCAGCTTCGAACACTCAGCCTTCTCTGCCCTGCTCTGTGATGCGGGTGGACACTCTGACATTTCAGGCCAGGCTTTGCCAAGAGGGGGCGCCACCTCCCCCACCTCTATGCCACCCCCACCGACAGCAGCTCCAACTCGAGACACTTCCTCTCCAGCGACCAAAGGTGATCTCCCACTGAGGCCCTCTCCCTACAGAGTGCGCCAAACTTCCTCAGCCCCGCTCCTGGCCGCTCACTGGGAGGCTCCCTTACCTGGATCACTCCCCACTTAATTGCTTCTGAGCCCTGGGCCCCAGCTATCAGTGTCCTGAGACTTTTAGAACTCCCTGCTATTAGCCCCCACCACAGCTGGCACCCTGCTGCTGCTGCTGCTAAGTCGCTTCAGTCGCGTCCGACTCTGTGCAACCCCATAGACGGCAGCCCACGAGGCTCCCCCGTCCCTGGGATTCTCCAGGCAAGAGTACTGGAGTGGGCTGCCATTGCCTTCTCCGAGTTGGCACCCTAGGCACCTACTAAATGTTTGTTGAAAAAAGAGTAATAAAAATTCTATTCTCCCCACAGAGCAGTGAGCTGGAGCCCCACCCAGAGCAAGTCTTAGTTTGTGTTTGCTAAAAGGATGAGTGAATATACAAAAACCAAATGAAAGCAGAGCTTCCACACAGCTCCAACTCAGGAGTAGCCTCTGCAGAACTGAAACATAGCAAAGTTTGCTCTTTTAGCCACAGGGCTATGCAAAATTTGGGGGGAGAATTGAAGTGATTCGGGGCAGGGCAAATAGCCTTGCAGTCTGGGTAGGGACACAGAAATACAGAGAAGACATCACAGGTCAAGACTGTATGAGCAGGGACAACAGCAGAGGAAGAAGTGGCGTTTATAAGCTCCTGTTGCAACCCAGGCCCTCTGCTGAATGCTCTCACTTAGCAAGTTTGGGAATGAGGTCTACCTGGGGGCAAGTTAAGCTGCTTCCTAGCTGAGTCATTTAGCCCACCTGAGTGTTAGGACCCTCATCTATAAAATAGAGCACAGCCTCATACAAGGTCAAGGTTAAGTGATATGATACACACTATACTGTTCAGCCCAGCTGTCATTGTGAAAGCTGTCATTGTGAAAACAAAGTGCTATTTATGTAACTCTTTCATTCAACATGTCTCTGAAGCACCTTGTATGTGACTGGCTCAGGACAAACTGCAGGAAACAAGAGAGACAGCTCCTGCCTTGAAGGTGTGGGGAGGAGAGAGGCCTTCATCAGCAGGACTGGCTTGTGCTGTGGGCCAGGGGTCCAAATAGGGAGCCTTCACTGCCAGGCTCCAGAAGTCTTCCCAAAGGAAATGTTTTGGGTAGGACCAGTCATGCCTAAATGATGAGAAACCCAGGCACAGAGTGGCTGGCTAATGTGCTCAAGGCCACACAGGTAGTGGATGCAAGGAGTGCACTGGACTCCGACCATCTGTCTGCAGAGCCAGTAACCACCTTTCACTCCCACTGCTCGGCTCAGTGGGGTTCCAGCCCAAGAGTCTAGTGGGGCTCCAGCTCAAGAGTCTAGTGGGGCTCCTGAGGCTTTTTGTTATAAGTTCTAGGAATGACAAGTCTTTGGTTCTCAGGATCCCAGCACTCACAGTGAAGGGTAAAGAGAAGAACTATGGAGACCCGTGGTTATACCGGGCCAGAGGGGTTAAGAAAACACCAAGACTCTCCTTTGGGAACAGGGTTGGGGTCCACCTATGGATTTGAAGCCCTCATGGAGAGGACGCGCCAGTCCCTAACCTCTTAGCACAGCTCACCCAGCCCTGCCTCATCCCAGCCCTCGTCCTCCTCCCTGGCATGGCACGAACCTTTCTAAACCACAGGTCTGACTAGACCCTCTCCTCCCAGCATCCTCCCACAGCTGTCCACTGCCTTCAGCACAAGTCTGACTCCAGAGCTCAGTGTGGGGGAGCCTGCCCCAGGCCAGGGGACCTCACTGTTTTCCCTTTCCCACCCGGGGAGGCCCCCACCCAAACCTCAGCTCAACCCTGCAGAGCCACACCAGCAGGCCTGTCCCTGCCACTCGCCCGCCCCGTGCTGGCTCTTCCTGGCTCAGGCCCGCCTCCTCCTACCTGATCTTGCTCCGGCTGCCCCTGCCTGTGGCAGGGCTGCCATCATTCTGCTGGTCCCCATCCCGGTCCCGGTCTTTCTCCTCCTGCAGTCGCTGGAGCAGCAGCTGGTGGGGGAGGCTTCGCAGTGAAGGTCCAGGAGAAGCTGCCGGCTGCACCTCGCCCTTCAGGTTGATGTCACTGGCTGAGCGCTGCAGGGGCCGAGGTGAGGCCAGGGCGCTCGGGCCGGCCAGCCGCCGCCGCTTCGCGTAGCTGGGGGTTTCCCTGAATGGCGGGGGGGGGGGGGGGGGGGGGAACAGGTGAGACTCTGGGCGGCCAGATTAGGGAACCAACTTGTCCTGTTTTGCCTGGTATTTCCAGATTTCAAAAGGAAAATCCTCTGTCCCAGGGACTGCCTCAGTCCCAGGCAAAACAGGTCAGTTGATCACCCTATGACTGAAGCTGGGATGGGCGGGAGAAGACAGGGTCACATACCATGCTGCCTCTAACTCTAGCTTCAGAGGTAAAAGCCTGCCCTTCCTGCCAGCCAGATGAGGTCTCGGGACTGCTTAGATCTGCTCTTGGAACTGCCCATCTCACAGGCTTCCAGAGAGACAAAAAACCGGCCACACGTGACAGACCTCACCAGACTGCCCCTGTGTGGAGCTATTTGCAGTCGACTATCACCAGAGAAACTGTAAAAGAGATATTCTAGACCAGGGGTTGGCAAACATCTGTAAAGAATAAGATAGTAAACATTTCAGACTTTGCAAGCCATTCAGTCTCTGTTGCAAGGACTCAGCCCAGCCACTGCAGTGTGAAAACAGCCTCAAATAATATATATGAGCAAATGGGTGTGGCTGAGTTCCAATAAAACTTTATTTAAATAGCAGATGGTGATTAAAACATGATCCAACTATATGCTTTTACAAAAGAGTCACTTTAGATCCAAAGACACAAGTAGGCTTAAAATAAAAGGATAAAAGAAAATATTTCATGTAAATAGTAACCAAAAGAGATCTATATAGCTACAGTAATATCAAACAAAATAGACTTAAAAAGTATTAAGAGAGACAGAGGACATTATATTTGATAAAAGTGTCAATTTGTCAACTAGATTAACAATTATTAACATATATGTAACAAACAACAAAGCATCAAAATATATAGAAACAAACATTGATATATTTGGAGAAATAGACAGTTCTACAATAATATTTAAGACTTCAACACCCTGCTTTCAATAATGGATAGAGCATCTAGAGAGAAGATCAGTAAGAATATAGAAGATTTGAACCAGTTAGACCTAACAGATATATATAGGACACTCCACAAAACAAAAGCAGAATACACATTATTCTCAAGTGCACGTGAAACATTCTCCAGGATAGATCATTTGTGAGGTCACCAAAAAAGTCTCAATAAATTTAAAAAGACTGAAATTATACAAAGTATCTTCTGCAGAGACAATGGAATGGAGCTCAAAATAAATAGCAGGGGGAAAAAAACCTGGAAAATTCCCAAATATGTGAAAAGTTAAACACTCTTAAACAACCAATATGTCAAAATAGAAATCATAAGGAAAATCGAAAACATTTTGAGAAAATAAAAACAAAAATAGAACATACCAAAACTTATGAGATGCAGCAAAAGTGGTACTAAAAGGGAAATTTATAGCTGTAACACCTACATTAAAAAGGGAAGTCTCAGAAAAAAGGGGGGGGGGGAACCTATTTAAAGAACTAGAAAAAGAGAAGCAAACCAAACCCAAAGGAAGGAAATAGTAAAGACTACATGAGATAAACAAAATAGAGATTAGAAATACACAGGGAATCAATGACACCAAAATTTGTTCCTTAAAAAAATATCAATAAAATTGACAAACCTTTAACTAGACTAAGGAAAAAAATTAGAGAGGGGGACACAAATAAAGGAAAACAGAAATGAAAATTGAAGTGTTACTACCTGGTGTTACACAATTAAAAAGGAATATAAGAGAATACTATGAATAATTGTATGCCAGCAAATTAGATAAACTAGATAAGATGGAGAAGTTTTTAGGAAAATGCAGATTACCAAAACTGACTCAAGAAGAAATAAAAAATCTAAACAGGCCTATAAAAAGCAAGGAGATTGGATCAGTAATCACAAATCTCCCAACAAAGAAAAGTCCAGCATCAGATGGCATCACTAACGAATTCTTCCAAACATTTAAAGAGGAATTAGCAAAATCCTTCTGAAATTCTTCCCAAAAAAATAGAAGAGGAAGGAACACTTTCTAATGTATTCTATGAGCAATTTAAAAATGATCAAAGAACTTGACATTTCTCCAAAGAAGATATACAAACATCCAACAAGCACATGAAAAGATGCATCAATAGCTGTTAAGAAAATGCAAATCAAAACCTCAATGAGATACCTCTTCACTTGGACTAGAATGGCTATAATTTTTTTTTTAAGGTAATAACAAGTATTGGTGAGGATTTGAAGAATTTGGAACCATCATGCATTTCTGGTGGGAATGTAAAATGGTGAAAAACAATTTAGCAGTTCCTTGAAAAATTAAACATAGAATTATCATATGACACAGCAATTCTACTCTAAGTATGTACCCAAAATAACTGAAAATAGTATTCAAACAAATACATTTCACACATGTCCATACAGCAATATTCACAATAGCCAAAGGGTGGAAACCACTTAAATGTCTACCAAAGGATGAATGGATAAACAAAATGTCACAGATACAAACAGTGGAATATTATTCAGCCATAAAAAGTAATGAAGTAGTGATACATCCTGCAATATGGATTAAGTTGGAAAACATGCTTCAGTTTGTTGAAGGAAGCCAAACACCAAGCATCATTCCACTTACATGAAATATCCAGAATAGGTAAATCTACATAGACAGAAAGTATGTTAATGGTTGACAGCGGCTGAGGGAGAGCGGAATGTGGAATAATTGCTTAATATATACAGAGTTTCCATTTGCGATGATGAAAATGTTATGGAATTCAATAGAGTTGGTTGTGAATGTCTTAAATACCACTAAATTATTCAATTTAAAATAGTTAATTTTATGTTACATGAATCTGATTTTAACTGAAATTTAAATCTTTGATTTTAAAGCCTCAATTAAAATCAACGACAGAAGGCTGGATTTGGCCTGGGGGCATTGTTTGCCAAGCCCTGTTCTAGTATACAGACCAGCAGCCTCACCTCCAGCTCCTTAGGAAATCTCAGGCTCCACCCAGACCCTCTGAGTCAGAATCTACATTTAACTAGATCCCTGGGTGACTCAAATGTACACTACAAAGTGAGAAGCACTTTCCTAGGGCACTCTTCAAAAGCACTCTGGGACAAGTCAGTGAGAAGTGTGCTTCAGAGTGTCCACAAGAGATGGGCGGAGCGCCTGAGGACACAGAGGCAGCCCGAGGCAGGTGAGGAAGCAGAGGTGGCTGCTCCCAGGCAGGGTCCCTGCCTCCTGCGGGTCAGTCTAGGGGTGGCAGGGGGGCTGCCAAGAGGCTTCCAGGTGACCTGTTCCCTGAAGAGTGATGACAGGGCTCAGCCTACAAGATCCCTCCAGGCGGCTTCGTGCCAGAGGAAAAGGAAGGATGGCTGGGCAGAGCCTCCCTGCTGCTCCTCCTCTGTGCACAGGTCCCACCTGGTCCCCAAGCCGAGGTGAGACGTGACCACTGACTCCCAGAGGGAGCGTGTGCCGAGGGAGTGGGGGAACAAGGGTGGATCTCTGGGTCGCTCTGGTCTGAAGACAGGCTCTGCTATTAACCCCTCTGTGCCTGGAGTTTCCTCCTCTGTAAAAATGGACTAACAGTAATCACTCACTGGGGGCTTGTTGAGAGGGTTATCATAGATGCTCAGAATATACTCCCCTGTAACTCAGGCGCATCTGGCTGTGTCATCTGAGTGTATGTGTGACATCTGAGCAAGTAAGGGTGCGTGGCCAGCAGAACTGATGCCAACAATGGGACTAACTGATGTGACCTCTCAGCTCAGCCACAAATGCCTGACCCCAGCCAGGTAAGCGCACCCTGGATCAGCCAGACAGAAGCTGATAATGGCGACCCCAGGAGCCCTGGCATCTCTGTCCAAAGATGAGGGGCAGCTGAGGCCTTCCTGACTTAGCCTGGACCACAGACAAGCCCCCACCCTCCGTCCAACCAGCTGGACCAAGGCTACTGGCCAGAGTCCAGACCCACGGAAGCCAATACTGCATAAGGTCAGTGGGGGAAGGAGTAAAGAACCATAAAAGACTTTATTTTACCTAAGGAAACTGAGGCACAGAAGTCCCAAGCCACTTTCCCAAAGTGACATCACAAGCAGAAGATAGAGCCCCACACATCCAGAAACCAAGCTTGTCCCAGGCTGACGACCTCCTCCAAAACAAGTAGCAGCCCCAACCAGACCATAACTGGAGCCCCTGCTCTGCCTCTTACCCCAGTTCAGACCTCAGGCTTCACCACAGTTCTCTCCCAAGCAGAACCTGGACCGCAAGCCAGCACCATTTCATTGGCTCAATTACGTGCTCAACATGCATCAGCTGCTGCTGCTGGAGGGTACAGGGTCTGCCCACTGTCACAGACCCCTGACCCTGCTTGGAAACAAGGGGCTCACAACCAAGCCTCACTGCCGGCAGGTCTGTTCAGGGGAGACTATATACGAAGACTCCTTAAACATGAACTTGACCTTATCCTAACCGTAGCCTACCATAACCTCACATTAGAACCAACAAGGACTCAGACCCTGGGACCAGCCTTAGCCCTTTGCTGTCCACTGTCACTTTAAACTTTGTAAAAATGGAGGCATCAGGTACTGCAGTCCCAACAGAGAGGGAAGCCTGGGAGTCTGTTCCCAGGAGCGCCGTGGGCAGAAAGCCTTGTCTGCCCAGGACAGAGGGAGCAGAGACAGGGCAGCCGTCTGGAAGGGGCTGGAAGGGGCAGCCTCTGGCCAGAAAATACTCTTTTCAGGAGGAGAGGCCCACCCCCAGCCAGTCCACATGGGGAGGGGAGGCTCAGGATTTGCAGGACAGGTTCCTGGGCAGACCCACAGCCAACACTGCCCTGGGAGAGGGTGGCCCCTGAGGCCTGAGGTTCAGACTAGACAGCAGCTCCTGGGTTCCCTCTGCGGCACGTGCTGGGCCCCCCCCCCCCGAAGCGCTGGCTGCCGAGAGCTCAGAGCCCCTTGCCTGAGATGGCTGCCCCCTTCCCCACACGCATCCCTACCACTGCGTTTTAATGTCTTCACACATGCATACAGGTGGTCTTGTCATGCAAGGAAGCTGACTATGGGCCACTTAAACTGTCTTACGTTTCCAGCTGAAGTGAAATGCTGAGCATCTGCGGTGGAGCTACACTGCCACATGTCTCCTGCTGGCCCTTCACACGACCTCACAGGAAAACGAACCTTGACCTAACTCTACTCCTGCTTCCAACCTAAGCTGATCCCTAAATCCACAGTGGTAACAATTACGATTGAAGGCAGGAGGAGAAGGGGACGACAGAGGATGAGATGGTTGGATGGCATCACCGACTCCATGGACTTGAGTTTGGGTAAACTCCGGGAGTTGGTGACGGACAGGGAGGCCTGGCGTGCTGCAGTCCATGGGGTCACAGAGAGTCGGACACAACTGAGGGACTGAACTGAACCATTACAACCATACCCCAATGCTGACCTGACTCTAACCACGATCCGCAGCCCTCACCTAACCGTGACCCTAACCTGACTGTCCACCTGCACAGGCCCTCCCCTCAGCACATTCCCTGCACCTGCAGAACCCACGGATGGGGCCACTGGGGGAACAGGAGGAAAAGGCTCCGGGTCAGGGGCTCCCCTGTAACAGCCCCACTCACTCCTGCCCGAGTGGGCCCCGACAACCCCCACAAATCCACGCCGGCAGGGCCCTCAGTGGGCAGAACTCACCGACGTCCGAATCTTTGTGGGTCTTGATGACCTCCGCGAGCTCAAAGTTCCCCGCTATGATGGCCACCTGGGGGGGGGGGGGGGGGGGGGGGGGAGGCTCAGCAGCACAGACTCACCTCCCCTCAGCCCTGGGGGCTCCCTGAATGCCCGAGCAGGGTCGTCCTCAGTTGGGGGCCCCAGGCTCAGACCTTGGCCCCTGTCTCACCCACCACCCCAGTCTGTGTGGGACTGAGGGGTCTCCTGGGACACAAGACTCTCAGAGCTAAAGCTGGAACACACTGGCCACCCTGCCCATTCTCGGAATGGCCCCTCCACACACCTGGTCTCCCCACGTGACCTGTGAAGGCCCCTGAATGGACAGTCACAGCCCACACCTGTTCTCCCCTAGCCCCAGAGCCCTCTGACCCTCCTCTCTTCTCCCTGGAAGGGGGGCCGAGGGAGCCATCCTCAGTGAGCACCCCTCATAAGAGCCGGGCACTGCCCTGGCTCACCCCCTTCCCCCACCTCACCCTGGGACGACCCTGGGCCCAGAGCTCCCTCACTGCTTTATAGGGAATAGACCAAGGTCCAGAAAGACCAAGCCACACAGAGATGGAGAGACATGCCCTGGGGAGCCCCACGCTCCTGCAGACATTCATGTACCTGGAAGGCTGTCTGGCTGTTGTAATTGCGGACATCCTTGTTGGCTCCACGGAAAAGCAGGACACGGGCACAGCTCTCCTGCAGGAAGATTGGAGGAGGGGTCACAGCTGGGTGACAACACATGCACACACAGGGCCCAGGGCTACGTGTTCAACACACACACGTGTAGCATAGGGACGGGCAGGTCAGGTGTAAGTGTGTAGATCCTAGCTAGCTCAGAGGGTCCACATGCATACAATGCACATGTGGTTGTTCAGAACACACATGTATGACACATGTGTTCAGGGAAACGATAGGCACACATAGACCTGCAAGGCCACAGCTCACTGCAAGAGGCAGAATACGCAGCTGTGGTGTGATACATAGGGCCAGACATGCACACACACGTAGTCACTGCACAGCATCACCTGTGTGCACATTCGTGTGCAAGCGTGCAGACCGACCTGGTTGTAGAGGGCACAGATGTGCAGGGCTGTGTTCCCAGAGGCGTTCTGAGCCCCCATGTCAGCTCCGTAGAACAGCAGGTGCTCCAAGTGCTGCACATGCCCGAAGCGGCAGGCCTGGGGGAGGGGGGGCACTGCTGGGCCCTGGGCACAGCCCAGACCCACAGGCTGAGCCCGGGGCCCTGCCCCCGTGCCCCCGCCTACCTGGTGGACTTCCTGCCAGCCATTCTCGTCGGTGGTCCCCAGCTGAGCATGGTCGTGCAGGAGCAGCTCGCAGCAGAGGGCGTCCCCCCCGCCCAGGGCGCTGTGGTACAAGGGCGTCAGGCCGCGGCTGTCCTTGTAGTCCGGTGAGGCGCCCAGGTCCAGCAGGGTCTGAGGGCAAGAACCCCAGTATTCATGCCAGGCCAGCCTCTTTCCGCTCCGGGGTCACACGATGCTCCAGCGAGGGCTGGGCCTGCACTGACCGTCAAGGCAGCCGCATTCCGCTGCCGCGTGGCACAGTGCACAGCCGTGAGCCCGTCTCGTGTGCGGAAGTCCAGGTGAGCACCGCCATTCTTCAGCACCTTCAGCAGGTCAGTGGCATCGTCCAACTGGGCGGCAAGGCTCAGCGGGCACTCTAGGTACAAGGGACAGGCGGAGGTCACAGTCCTGGCCATTCCCAGACCATGCCCCTCCCTGATCCGCTTCTCACCTCCTGAGTCAGGATCGTGGAAGTTGGGGTCCAGCCCCTTGTCCAGCAGGCGGGCCACCTTGTCTGTGCTGTGCAGCTGGACGTATTCCATAAATTTCTTCAGGTTTGCCTGGAATAGCCAGCCATCCTGATCAGCCCACACTTGACGACCATCATCTGACCATCACCCACATACCCCAGGGAACTACCACACTCCTCAGTCTGACCCATCAGCCTCCACCATGACCTTCTCCCTTTCCCATGTTACCCTAACCTTGCACTCCCACTGTGGCCCCAATCCCAGCTCCACTGGATCCGCATGCTGCTCCAGATCCTTCCTCGCCCCCCAAGCCCAGCTAAGTGAGTTCCCTCCCTCAGCTTCAGCCTCTGCCCTGGCTTCTCTTCCTGGCCCTGATGCCCCAACCTGTCCAGCCTGGAAAAGCCTGAAGCCACATGGGCAGGAGCCAGCCCGGGGCAGCCTGCACCTCCACTCCCCAGGTAGCCTGCTCCTTCTCCAGTGCATCTTTCTCACGTGCTCACCCCACGACAGATTCCAGCTCCAGGGCCCCGCTCTCCTGCCAGGTGTCCCCTCCTGTGATGTGACTCTGACTGCTTTTCCTTCACTCACCCAGTTATGCATCAATTCACTCACCAAAGCCTCACTAAGCTCCCGCTGGTGCTACAGTGCTGCCTGCAGCAGGCAAGGTACCCTGGCCTGAGGCCCCAGGTACCCAGGCCCTCTAGAAACAAAACGCATCAGAAATAGGACAAGGTGCCGTGGGGACAGCTCCATGCGAGAGGGCACCCTCTGGCAGATTAGGACAATGAGACAGGAGAAAGGATGTTCAGAGCTGAGAGGAAAGACCTCAGCCCCACCAGTGTGGGGGTGGGGGTGGGCGGGGAGAGGCCTAACGTGGTGCTGGGGGCCGGCCAGAGGCCAGGCAGGCAGAAACACAGGACTGTGGCACGGAGTTGAAACTCATCCTAAAACCAAGTGAGACTCACTGAAGGTCAAGAGTCATTGGTGTCCTGCAGGTCACTGAGGTCAGCTTTGGAGGAGAGGTAACTACGGGAGGAATCCAGGGTGATGGGTTATACCAAGACCAGTGAGGGAGTCTCTGCCTAGCCACAGAACCACGGCAGCAGAGGAGTCTGGCACGGAGACTCTAGGGTCACGAGGGGGTCACTGGAGCACAGGGGTGAGTGTATAGATCCCTCTCTTAGGCCCCAGAGACTGTCAGTGAAGTGTCCAGCAAGTAAATGTCCACTGGCCCACAGGAGCCTGGGGTGGGAACTCAGGGAGTCTGCCTATGGAAAGGGCCAGGGTACCCACCCTGCCCCTCCTACATTCAGAAAAGGCAGGGAGGTGCCCCCCAAAGAGCATGTGGGGTCAGACCCTCCTAGCAACAGTACCCAGGAGTAAAGACCCCACAGGTATGCCTAGGGGCCCAGAGTCAGAAGATCTGGGTTCAATCCCAACATCACTGGATGCAGAGCTGTAAGCAAGTCACTTAAATTCTCTGCGACTCAGTATCTTCATCTATGAAATGGGTTAATGATAGTCCGTCCCAGAAAAAAAAAAAATAACAAGATGCCTAATTTCAAGTGCCTAGCACTGGATGACCACTAAGTCCCAGATGCCCTGTTCTCCCCACCCCAGCCCAGCTCCCCTCAACAACCACATCTGCTCACATAGCCCCCACAAAGACACTGCACCCTACTGCACTCCACCCCTTAGCCAGGGGCCCACCAGAGGGGTCAGTGAGAGTCTGACCTGAGTGGAACCCATCACCAGACCAACCACCCCAAAGTCATGGTGCCCAGAGTCTGCATCCGGCCCTCTAGCCACCCCCAACACCCACGCTGGGTCCCTGATGACAGGAGATAGCAGCCTGAGCAAAAGCTGGCCAGCCCAACCAAGCTGGAGTGGCCGTTCTGGGAACAGGGGGAAGGCCTCAAGAAAGGAATTTTTCAAGGACATTTTTGACATCACAAAATCCTGCTAAGGCTGAGCTAGGGGAGCATTGGCCATGGCGGGGAGGGGACTGGAGGGAGTGCAGAAGGTCACCTTGGAGTCCCCTCGCTGTGGCTGCCTCCTTACCTTTGTGTGAAGCTTTGCAAACTGCTTATCATCAATGAGGTTCTGGGCATAAACTCGTCTCTTGTATCGAAACTGCTCAGGTAAAGACAAGGCAGAAAAAGGCACCCACCTGGACTGAGTAAGTGAAAGCAGGCACAGAATGGAGTCCTGCCCACTGCTGTGTGGCCAGGGCCCCACTGCTCATCGCCCCCATAACAAAGCTCCTGCCGGCCGGCCTCACCAGCCCGTGCACACACCATGGACACGACCTGCACTGAGGACAGGTGTGCTGCACGCCCAGCGGTCCCTCTGCCTGCTGTGCCCTTCCTGTCTCACCCCCACCCCCAGGATTCCCTGGAAACCTCAGTACTCTTCCAAGACCAGGTTCCAGGCCTACCTTCCTAGACACCCCTCTCTGGACAGAACTGTGCCTACCTGCCTGTGCCACCAGGGAGGCCCAGTCAGCTGAGCTCAGAGACCATAACGCTTGTTCCAAAGCCCATTGCACTTGCCACCCCCCCCCTCCAAACTGGATGTGGCCCCCTTGCTCACAGGGTGCTCAACGGCCTTTACATCATGAACAGGTGAGCAAAGAGGAAGACTTAGACTGTCCTTAGGAAAACTGCACGGGCGGTGGCAGGAAGACAAGACACAGATGTGCACACAGCCCGCGGCGGGCGTACTCCACGCGGCGCTCTAGGCAGTCACGCCCGCTCACACCCCGTCGCACGTGCTGCTGACCGCGCACCTGCACGCGGCTCACTCCTCACTCGCCCCGCATACACTAACTCCCCCCGACCGTGCCCCTCTCTGCCGCACCCTCCGGAGCTCGGGGCTCTGCCCGTCCCCGGCTGCTGCTCACCTCCAGGTAGGGCAGGGGCGTGTCTAGGTTGGGCGGGTATTCCTGCAGAAGCCTCTCCTCGTCCAGGAACTTGCCGGCGCGGCCCCGAGAGGGCGGCTGGAAGAGCCCGTAGTTGAGCGCGTCCTGGAGGCTGTGGTTGAGGGCGCAGAGCACGCGCTGCTTGGCGGCCCAAACGGGCGCGGCCGGGTCCAGGCGCAGGCACTTCTGCAGCGGAGCGCGGTCGTGAGCCGATCGGGCCGCCAGGCCAGCGCTGGGCACGGAGGCCCGGGGCGCCGCCCGAGTCCCGGCGCGGGNGTCTGAGGTCCCGGGGTGGGGAGTGGGGTCCGCGCGAAAGGCGAGGGCCGCACAGCAGGGTGGGGACCCTGGGGGCTGTGCTGGGGGTGTGGGGACTCCTAGGCCTCGGTGTGGGGGGAGTGGCTGAGCAGCGAGGACCGCGCCGCCCTTCGGCTGCGGAAGAGCATCCGTGGACCACCGGGGAAGATGCGGCGAGGAGGGGGTCTTGGAGCTGGGATGGGGGCCGCTTTGGGCACTGGGACCAGAGGCAGGGCAGGAAGGGGAGAGAAAAACTGTAGAATTAATTTACGGGGGTGGCAGCTTCTCCCCACTCTACCGACCCCCTCTCCCCACCCTACTCAAGACCCGGGAATGACAGGGACCAATCCGGTTCCAATCCTGGAGGTGGGACGGTAGGGACCTCAGAGCCCCGGGGTCTCTCCCACAGTCAGAGCATTTAACCCTCCAACTTAACCCTTAGGACCTCGCCGAACTGTGTTCGGCGCGGCTCACGGCTCCCGCATCTCTAGCAGAGTTTGGGGAGTTCGCTCCGGACTCTGAGGCCCGCCCCTCCTCCAGCCCCCTCCCCAGTTCCCCTGGTTCGCCTAGCTCCGACGCCTGTCACCCCCTCCCGGTCACCTTAGCGACAACAGGATGGGGGCGCGACCTAAGAGGAAGGGCTTAGGGGAGGGGGCGCTACTAGTCTCCACCTGCAACCGGGAAGTGAATTTTAGGTTTACGCGTTGTCGTGGCAACGCGGGAGGGGGTGATGAGTAGGCGGAGAAGAGGGGAGCGCAATAAAGAAACTAGCTCCGGCACCACCGCCCCATTGGAGCACGCTACCCCCCCCCCCCCNCCCCCATACTCGTCAGCCTCGCAGAACTACCCCAGAGCTGGGAAACCCGAGCCCTCAAGGTTCTTCAACAGCAAGGAGCAGTCCCTTCACGTTGAAATGGCCCTGATTTCCCAAGAAACAGCTTCTGACTCCCACAAAGCTCCCCCGCCGTGCTGGACTCCTCCCCAAAGAACAGGCCCTGACCCCCATGGCCGCTCCCCTTCTCACAAGACCCACTTGCTAACCTTCACAGAACAACCCAGCTTGGGAACACCTTCTAATCCTGGTAGAAAATACCCCAGCCTCACCCACCTTCTCCAAGAGCAGCCCTGGATCCACTGAGCCTCCCAGGAATAAACTTGAATGAACTGCCCCCCGCCCCCCCACACTCCAACACGCACAGAGAAAACCTCCCTACCCTTCCCTGACATCCTGGAAGCACCCTACCCCCACACAGACCAGTTCTTGACACCCCGTTGGAGAACAGCTCCCACCCCAAAGAGCGCCACAGTACCCGCCCTTCTGCCCCTGGAACAGTCTCTGGTCGCCCCAGAGTGAGACCCAGGACCAGCCCTGACCCCTGAGGAAAACCGGGCTCTCTCCCACCCCAGCCACCATCCCTCCAGGAAAAATCTCTGCCTCCCAGGACTCCACTGACCCCACTGTGTCCAGCGCTGTCTGCAGTCTGCTCCTGCTTTCTTCCCAGGCCTGGGCGGACCCTCCCTGCCTAAGAGTGTGACCCCAGGATGTTCAGGCTCTTCCCAAGGCCACGGGCCTGGCCTGAGTGAGGGAGCTGAGGGTCCCCAGAGGCTGGGGCGGATGGGAGGGGTAGGGGAAGGGGGGAAGCAGGAAGGGGCTGTTGGAAGCCCACTTATCTGCAGGAAGCACCTTGGGAAGCATGTGGCCCAGCCCTGGAGAGAGGAAACGAGTGCTTCCCGGCCCCACTGTCTCCACCGTCTTCCTGCCCCTGGTCTCCCCTCCCTGAGTCACCCAGAACTGCCCCTCCCCGGGTCCCTCCCCCCTCCTGCTGTGGCAGCTGAGTGGCCATGGCCACATTCACCAGAGTCCCCGAGTCGCGATGGGACTGAGGAAGGAGGCTGCATCTCCCCACAACCAGCCTCAGAGCTGCCCCAGGCCTCTGGGCTCTCCCTGCAACCCTGCCCTTGGCCTGGGTGGCCAGACACCCACCTGTCCCCCGAGACGACCTCATGGGGCCCCCTCCAGCCTCCGCGGGGGCCCACTGTACTTGGTACACCCAGCACCATGAATGCCGCGCTCTCAGGAGAAAACCTCACGTCTGAGAAGCAACCCACACCCTGGTCTCCAGGCTCAACTGGGCCTGCCCTGCCAGGGCCAGGGCCACAGAGCACCCAGCCCAAAGAATGGGCACATGATGAACAAATTTCAAGCTGGTACCACTCCGCAACCCACTGCCACTCTGGCAGACGGCAAAAACCCCAACCCCCAGAAGCACCTTCCCCACAGAATGTCCTCCTGGCCCTGCAGCCTGGTGGGTTGATGGAGCAGGAAGCCCAGGGACAGGCTATTTTGTTGAGAATAAAAGACACCAGTCTCCTCAGCACCTCCTAGCCCAGCCCTACCTCTCTGCCCTCCTGTCTTAGTCCTTGAAGGCAAGGAGTCCCCAGACCCCACAGCCCTTCCATCAGGGCTAAGATTCCAGAAAGACCCATGGTTCTCCCATCCCCACTTCCTGCCAACACAGGTTCAAAAGCCCAGGGCCTGTGGAAGCTCATGTGGGCAAAGCATCCAGAACGTGCCTGGCACAGGGTCAGAGCTGTCCAGTGGAACACTGCCCACCACTCCCTGGCCCCCCAGGCCCCCCAGCCACTGCAGAGGCCCTACGTGCCCGCACCCTCAAGGTCCTAAGCACCCCTGCCTGCAGCGTCCTGGCGGCCTTCCTGGTGAGGCTGCCTCCCCCTCCCTCACCACGCCCTCCTTTCACACTCCTGGGCCACTTCCTCACCCACATCCCAGCCTTTCCCTCCCTCTCCCAGTCAGCCTACAGAGGCCTGGCCCACATCCCCCCTCTTACTGCAAACCCCGCAGGCCGGCTTTGTCTCCTGCCGAGCCTCACACCCTGGTTTCCGTGAAGGGGCTGGGGTGGGGGGCAGGGGGCGTCCTGCTGTCTGACCCTCCCCGGGGGCCCGCTCTCCCCGCCTGTACTATTCCTCTGCCCCGACTCTGCTCTTTCCTCCACAGCACCCTGGTGTCTGCCTGCCCTGAAATCACTTGTTGCTTATTGTCTAGGACCTGTCTTTCCCCCCAGGATGCAGGCTCCCCATGGGGAGGAAGCTTTCCTGATTTGGTTCAGTGCTATGTCCAAGGCCCCGGTCTCAAGTCCATGCTCAGTGGACATTTGCTAAAGTTTCATCTACAAACTGTTCACACCCAACTTTCTCTGTTCAGGGCAGACCCTCTCCAAACTCAGAGCAGCTTGTAGGGGCAGAATACCCGAATATTCTGACTGTCTGGGCCTGGTGCAATTTTTCTGGGTAGGTTTTTGTTTTGTTTTGTTTGCTTCTAGTTATTTAACATCTATCAGTGTTTTTAGGTTCAATTTCATCCTAAGACTGATATGTTAAGTTTTATTTTTCTAGGAATACAAATCTTTTTCTAAAGAATCAACTTTTCATTCTGCTAATCTATTTATCTATTTTGTTTTCTTCTGTTTAATTCTTTCTACTGCTTTGATTGTTGTTAGGATCCTTTTTCAAATTTCTTCAGCTGGGTACTGAATTCAATTTTTAGTCTTTCTTTTCTCTGACAATGAGTGTTTGAGGTTATACAATTTCAAGTTCCACTTTAGTTATGGCCGTTAAGTCGGGTCTTAGCTGTGGCATGTGGAATCTAGTTCCCTGAAGGGACTGAACCCAGGCCCCTGCATTTGGAACTCGGAGTCTTGGCCAAAGGACCACCAGGGAAGTCCCCCATTAAGTCTTAATAAGTAGTATTTTTAATTTCACCTTGTTGATTTTCTGATATCCATTGTATTGTTTGCTTTAGGGATTACTGAAAAGTATGCTTACTTTAAGCTTTCAAATGTATACTAGGTTTCTTTCTTTGTATTTATTTATTTATTTTTGAGGAAGGACTCGCCCTTAGCTACTGATTTATTTATTATTTTGTTATGGTCAGAGAAGATGATCTGCATAATACTGATCTTTGAGTATATTTGAGTACAAATACAAATAGAATTTATTTGTAAAAAATATATATAAAAAATACAAATACAAATATAAATATATTTGAGTATATTTGAATAATATTGATTTAATAAAGACTTTCTGGTTGCCATGTATGTGGTTCAATAGGAATTATTGGATACAAGGAGATATGTACGTGTGTCACACACACACACACACATATATATATATCCAACAATATACACACACGCATAAGATCATACCTCCATTGTATTAAGTTTGTTAATTGTGTTATTCAAATATTCTATGTCTTTTCTAATGTTCCCTTTGCTTGATTTATAAGTTACTAAAAGAAGTGGGATAAAATTCCACTTTAGCAGCCTCTCCATGAAATTTTGCCAATTTGGGATTTATATGTCTTTTCAGGCTTTGTTTTTAATGCTAACAGATTTAGAATTATTATAGCTTTCTGATAAATTATTCCTTGTATCATTATATGGTACCTTATTTATTCTTAATGATGCTTTTAGCCTTAATTTTTTTCAATGTTTAGTCTAGGCATAGCACTATTTTGTGAGTATTGACCTCATATATCTTTTCCCCTCATTCTCCTTTTATTCTTTCTACATTTTATATTGTTAGATGTGCTTCTATGTAAACAGTCTGTGTAGCCGTTTTTAGATTAGCCTCTGATGGTGTTTTGTTGTGAGTGCTGAAGCACTCTACCTGATTTCCGCCTCTCACTCTGGCGTCAGTGTTGTTTTGTGTTTTGTCTACGCTGCTTTTTTCTCCCTTTGGGCTCTTCCTCTGGTTGATCACGTTATCTTTATTCCTCTTTCCCTCAACTACCTTTGTTTTTGGAGTTAAACATTCTTTCTATCATTTTCATAAATACACTTAAATTTGTAACATGTGAGATTAACACAGCCTAAAGTAAAACTGCCCCCACCCCTTTCCCTGCACTGGCGGGAGTT